CGCTTCGAGTCATATTAATTGTCGTACTTTAGTATTATTGACATAAGAAGTCAAGTAGACATTTAATGTCTGTACATTGGATCCCCACATGTAATACCACCAACTATAGCAAGTCCTACCAGTTGGACTAGCTTTAGGTCCTTGTAGAACTGCAGTAGCGTTAGCAGTAGATAATGTCCTGACAGAAACATAAGAACCTGCAGTACCTTTATGATCCGCCTTGGGGCCATAAGTAACCGTAGCACCAGCTTTCGTTAATGTCCAGTTATAATTGGATGAGCTTGCTTGTGTAAATCGACAGTAGGATTGATTGAAATCGCAACCATATTCACCAGCAGGGAAAGTTGGAAGTGGAGTTGGAACAGATGTTGGCAGCACAGTACCAGTGCAAGCACCTCCTGTCAAGGTGATGTCATCAATTGCAATGTCACCAGAAAATGTTACACCACGCTTGCCTTCGATAATGATATTATAAGGAGCAAAACTGCTAATTGTAGCTTTGCCATTCTTCCATTGATTACCTTGAGGGCCATTTAAGTGTCCAATAAGTATTTTATTCTCTCCCTGATCGACGTATACCGACAATGATCCAACAGCTGCTCCACTCATATGGTACCAAAAACTGAAGCAACGGGAAGTTGTTGGTGGGAATTTTTGACTAATCAAGCGTGCAACATCACCTTGTTGTTGACTAGAAGCTTCAAGGTAGAGATAAGTGCCATATCGATTGCCTAAGGTATGATCACTTGTTGGGCCAGTATTAAATGATGGTGTACTTCCTCGTCCTTGAATCCAATCAAATTGATCGGTATTTCGATCATTAATCCATGTGCACAAGCCGTTTTCAAAATTGCAATTTCCTGGTGTCTGGCATGGGACATTGCTGATATCCACATCGTCAATGGCGATATCACCAAGGTAGCCTTGACCAACAGTTCCTTCAATCACTACTCTAAACGGCATATTACTATCGAGCGGCACCTGACCTGGCAACCACCTTTCTCCATTATTACCTGATTCTGTCCATATAGGCTGGCTAATAATGTTATTTTTAATGATATAAACTGATAAACTACCAACCGTTTGGCCAAACATAAAATACCAGAAATTTAAACATTTTGGTCGAGCAATAGTTGGTGAAATTTCTGGACTAATAATGCGTGCTCGATCATCTGGACGTCTTGGCAATGAAGTTTCGATATACAAATATTTCCCTAGGGCAGTACCAGTTGTATGATCCGTCCTTGGGCCAGTTTGATCGCTTGGTGTATTACCACTACCTAATGTCCAATTGAATTGATCATTTGTAATTTGCCGCCATCCACACAAGTCATTCTGAAAAGTGCAAACGTCTTGTACAGGGCATGTAGTATTACTAATAGTGATATCATCGATAGCGATATCTCCGCGATAGTCCCTACCAGCTACACCTTCGATAATAAATTGGAACGAAGTCGAACTTTGATAGGGAATAGCTGTATACTTCCAATCAAGTCCTTGTTCTCCTCCTCTAGTCCATAGAAGAACAGACCTGCTTTCGCTTACTGATCGAGTATAGATATTTAGTAGGAAAACGGATGCTCCATGCATATTATACCATAATATCATGCAATAATTTTGTAGGTTGGATGTTAGCGCGTTAATAACAGGACTAACAAGTTTTGCATTATCATTTAAACGGCGTGGGAATGATGTCTCTATATACATGTAGTAGCCAGTGCCAGAATGATCTGTAGATGGTCCAGTATCAAAGCTTGGTGTTGGGCCATCATTACGAGTCCAATTGAAGATATCATTGGTTGATTGCATCCAGCCACATGTGCCATTGTCAAAGTTGCATCCATACCCGGTAGAAATGGTTGTCGGTGTTGGTGGAAGGACTGTTGGAATATTACTTCCTTGGCAAGGTCCATTCATCAGCATGATGTCATCAAGAGCAACATAGCCAGAGCTTGCCACTCCAAGTACACCATCGAAAACAATTTTATACTGGAAGGAACTGTGAACGTTAACAGACGCCATTTGCCATCCATTGGTTTGATAAATACCTTGTAATTGTCCAACAGGATGATCTGTCGAACCTGTTCTGAGATTCACTGTTAAAACAAATGATGATGCATTGTTAAACCAATAGTAAAAGGTTAAACACATTCCTTGGGTTGGTGGAAGAGTAGCTCTGCTGATTAATCTAGCATGTTGACCAGCTGTTGCAAATGCTTGATCAACAACCATATAACTACCCGATGATGTATTGAATGTATGATCTCTTGGTGGTCCCTTATATACGGTGTTAGTACTTGGTTTGCCAAGAATCCAATTATAATTATTATTAGCATCATTAACCCATGATTTTCGGCATAACGATGATTCAAAATTGCAATTAGCTGGAGGTGGACATGGCCCAGAATTATCGATTAAAATATCATCTAATGCCATATCACCTCGGAAGCCTATTCCAACGATACCTTCGTAGACAATCCTATAAGTCATGTTGGAATTAATGGTGACACTACCGTATATCCATTTATCGCCAAAGTTGGTGCCACGGCTCCAGATTGCATTGCCAAGTTGATTATTTTGCTTAATATAGATATTGAGTTGGCCAATATGGGCACCATACATGTGATACCAAAATGTTAAGCATTCACCATTGGATGGGGTTGGGGGATAGAACGGACTTTGTAATCGTGCTTTCTGTCCAGCAATATATGGACGTGAAGTTTCGACATAGGCATACCAACCTCGTGGGGATAATGTGGTATGATCGATGGATGGGCCTGTAAAATTGGATGATGTTGATCCTCTTGTTCGATACCAAGGTATATCGGATTCAGGTGCTGTAAACCATCCACAACTACCACTCTGGAAGTCGCACATTTTAGAGGGAGCGCAAAATCCAGGGGTAAATTTAATATCATCGATTGCAATATCTCCGTAATAATTGCTATTGATGCTAGCCACAAATTTGGTATGAAATGGCCTAGAACTTGATACAGTAACTTGTCCATGTCTCCATAAATTGCCTTGTGAGCCGCTTCTTTGAAAAATGAGGGTATCTTGCGTTGCATGGCCATAAACTTGTAATGTACCTACACTTGGTCCATACATATGATAGTAAAAGCTCATGCATAACGCAGTAGTTGGAGTAATCGTTGGCCCTTGTACAACGGCAGTTGCATTGACTGGATAGGATTTATTCGGTACATACAAATAAAAGCCTAGAGTTACGGGAAAAGAAAGAAGACATTATTGGACATTCATTTTTTGGAAATAGCTCAAGACGTATTGGCATTGGTGATGACTACTCCAAGGAGAATATAGAACTTGGCTATAACATGGATAGATTAAAAATTTACCTGAACCCGTAGTATGATCATTGGAGGGCCCTGTAGAAGTAAGCGATCCACGTGTTCTAACCCACTGGGCTGTTGTATTTTTAAGGAGAGACCAGTAACATGTTCCGGAAGTAAAGCTGCAACCCCAGCTATTCGTGGGTGGAGCGACAGGAGAAATAGAAGGAGCAGGTAATGTAGATCCTGAACAATTGCCAAAGTTAAATTGCAAATCATCAATAGCGAATGTCCCTTGAGTGCCAGCAGCTACTACAGCTTCGATAATAATTTGATATTCTGCTAAGGCAGTAATGCTTACTTGACCCATTGTCCATGAACTAGTTCCATTTTGTACTTGGCCAACAATTTTAGTGATTGGAGTGCCTGTATACAGCTCTTGTAAGTAGACATTGAGCATGGGAGAATTACCATACATTTGATAGGAAAAGGTAAAGCATGATGCAGCTGTTGGAGATTGTTCATCGCTTATATAGCGTGCTGATGAATTTTGGCTCATAGACGCTGTCATATTGACCACTGCATATTGGCCGGAAGATGTACCTCCATTCGTATTATCTAATGTCGGTCCAGCAAATGTTGAGCCAAGGAATGCTGGTATGACTGTCCATTTGTCAGTCACTTGGCTAGCAGCATTAATCCATGTACAAAGCGATGAGAAGGTACAAACATTAGATGATGGGCATGAACCACTGACTAATGAGATATCGTCGAAAGCCATATCTCCAGCGAATCCATTTCCAACCGTACCTTCAATGACCATATTAAATGGTTTACCTGCACTATTGACGGTGGCTTGACCAAATCGCCATACATCTCCACGTGTACCCATTCTCGTCCATATGGGCATGCCAATATTATTGTCGACCTTGACGTAGACATTGAAACTACCTACTTCTCGGCCAAGCATATGATACCAAAATGAGAAGCAACTATTACCATTGGTAGCTGGATATTGTGGACTTTGAAAGCGTGCTTTCTCATTCAGGAAAGAAATGGCTGACCAAAAGTACATGAAATGGCCAGTAGCAGTTCCAAGAGTATGATCATATTTTGGTCCAGTTTGGCTATGGACGATATTAAAATCACTTGTAGCTCGAATCCAGAAGAAAGTAACATCAAATGTATTGACCCATCCACAACTACTTCCTTCGAAATCACAAGTGATAGCAGGTGGACAATTAGAATGCAATAGAACTCGAATATCATCGATGGCAACGATCCCCGTATAGCCTTGATTGACCGTTGCTACAAAGGAAATATTATAAGGATTGTCATTAATGACAGAAACTTGAGCATGGCTCCATCCATAGCCCACCGATGCTGTCCTTGACCATAGCAACGTCGAGGTATTCGTCGTTTGAGAACGAGCTTGTAAGCTAACAATATTTTCTCCAATCATTTGATACCAAAATTCTAAGCATATGTGAGATGTGGATGGCACTGAGACAGCGCTAATAATGCTTGCGGAATAAGCCATATTCTGCAATCGTGGCACATAGAGGTAATGACCTAAAAGATGAACAGAGAAATGACTTAAGCTTCACGGTCATGGAAGAAGCAAGATCGTATGTTGACATGGTTCAATTTTTTCCTTGCAAAAGTAGACGAAGAAATTGAAATTGCAATTAAGTAAGCAATTTATCCTTACCATCAAGTGATCCTAGTGTATGATCCTTAACCACAACATTATTTTTCGTTCCATTTCCTCGTGCCCACAAGACAGTATTGTTCAGACTCGCATCCCAATTGCATAGACCAGTCTCGAAGGTGCAATCAAATGGACTTGGACCTGGGGTAGCCGTGGGTGCTATTGATGAAGAAATGATATTTGCAGTACAGTTACCAGCATTGAAAGTGATATCATCAACAGCGATATCTCCAGTAAAAGCTCGGCCCATGGTAGCTTGGAAGATGATTCTATAGTAATTATCAGTTTGAATGAAAACTTGGCCATTTACCCACATTTTTCCATGATTGCCAGAAATAGCGCCTAATGTCATTAAGCTTAGATTGTTATTGTTACTATCAAATTCTTGCATCAGGACACTTAAAGTATTCACGGTGGCACCATACATGTAATAGTAGAAGGATAGGCATCTTCCAGTATTTGAATCGAATTTTTCGCTAACATACCAGGCTTTTTCTCCAGCTTGACCAGCATTAGAAGCTTCAAAGTAGAGATAGTGGCCAGCTGGTGTTCCTAAGGTGTGATCATTTGTAGGGCCAGTGAAGGAACTAGGAGTTCCTCCGCTATTAATTATCCAGTCGAACTGATCGCCGACTTGAGTATTAGACCATGAGCAATATCCTTCAAAATTACACGACCCTGCAACCGGGCATTTACCAGTTAAGAAACGTATGTCATCAATAGCGATATCACCGAAAGTTCCAGCTCCGACGACAGCTTCAAAGATGATCTGATAGGGTGCATTTGGATTGATAATAGTGGCCCAGCCAAGATTCCAAATATTACCTTGATTGGTAGTTTTTTCAAAAATAGTATCCCTGGTAACACCGTTACTTCTGATTTTCACTTCAATTGCACCGGATAGATTGCCATATAAGTGATAGAAAAATTCTAAGCATGTTCCATTAGCTGGAGTTGCAGCATAAGTATCACTAATAACTTGAGTTCTCATTCCAGGTGTTGGATCCATAGTACTGGCATACATATAGTGTCCTAGATTGAAAGTCAATGAGGACAGACTAATTTTAATTTTACTCGTGCATTTAAGAAGTTTATATGATTCAAAAATGATATCGAATAGAGTAATAAACAGATGACAGTTCTATCATAATGGATAGGGTAAGATAAAACAAAAATAAACTATTACATTATAGAATGCCATCATGTTTAACTATCTATTGCTATATTTTTAACGTAGCCATATTATAACGTGATTTTTTATGTCTCATTGAGTTATTTGTCATTATTTCTTTGCAAATAAGATGATTGAAAAAGGTCATTATTAAATTACCTGCTGCTGTTAAAGTTGTATGATCAGTAGCTGGGCCAGTTCCATTGAATGAATTGCCACCATTTCCAATAGTCCAAACAAATTTAGGATTATTGGTTAAATCTGCGTATCCACAAAGTCCTCCCTCGAAATCACAGTAATCTGGTAAAGTTTTATGGTTAGTAGCTTGTTTCAATTTATAATCGAAATAAGGCAAAATATTAAAGACCTTTATTGATAGAACTAGTATGTACTACCTAACTATCTTAATAGATATTATACCTGAGTATGGACAATCTAAAGGTGCCAGAAAAATATCATCCAGGGATATGTCCCCTCTGAAACTTGTTCCTGTCGTCCCTTTAAAGGAAATCTATGAAATAGAATATATAGTGAGAAATTTAAATGAATTAGTGTTACATCACAAAATAATCATGCTATAGCTTGTAATCATCTTAAGTCATGAATTGAATGTTAGAACTGTTTAATAGCAGATCTACTAACAGTAATATTTTGTGGTGTATTTAAGGTAATAGCTGCTGGTCTCCAAGCATTGCCTTGTGTTCCAAAGCGTTGCCATATTACATTTTGTTGGCCTCCCATAAGGTCAGTAGTTAAGACCTGCAAGTTATTAATATCTTGTCCAAACATATGATACCAAAACTTGAAGCAAACATTAGTATTGGAATTGATGGTTGGGCTGACTAGGATAGCCGTTTCGTTAACAAGGCGGGGAAACGAAGTTTCGATGTAGATATAGTAGCCTAATATCATCAAAATTGAAGTTTAGAATGTATGATTTACTAAATTGACGCTTTATATGATGTCATGTGTTTCTAAATTTCCAGTCGGAAGTTGCTATTGGTTTCTATTAGTAAATTTTTGTTTTTACTTCAAAGACTGCAATTCTGGCCTTACTGGATGGAAGCAAGGAATAAAGATGTTTATTACTTCATATTATTTGAAATTCTATGTACAGAGAGTCGCCTGTTCTGTCATTAATATTATTTTAAAATTAAGTTTGATCATATCTATGCATAGTAGATAATATAGGTTGCTTAATTGATGAATGTTAACTCAAATAGTTTCAAGTTCTAAACTAATTTAGCGGTAATATCCGTCGTTATTTTTCAGTATTTCGCATGCAGTTGCCCTATAATTGAGCCGCAGTGAAGGAAATCCACAAAATATCGACATTATTGCATAAATCTGAACGAAAGATTTGATCTTGATATGCATAATTGGCTATAATTTTAATCAATCTATTGTGGTTATGATTGATTTCGCTGAATGTAGCATCCAAGTAGGTCTATTTCGGAATTAGGTTATGTTATAATATCAAATCGATGGTTGAATCTTACCTGTTCCAGTCGTATGATCGCCAACTGGTCCAGTACCAACACTAGGACTTCTTGAATTGGTACGAGTCCAGTTAAAATTATCGTTTAAACTTTGTTTCCAAGCACAGAATCCATTTTCAAAATTGCAGTCTAGATTCGATTCTATGATTGGCTGTGCCACTGAAATGGCAACTAAAAAGGATAATAGCAGCATTTATAAGAGTCATTTTCTTGAAATTTTTAAGTCTAGCGACACTTTTTGCTCGATAAAGAGGTTAGTGCATTTTAGGATAACTTAGCAATTGAAATAGTCAATGTTTGAAACTAAATATGGTGAGAATTTTAGTAAGTTTTTTCAATTATAAATTCAATAGCCAGCTATTACATGGTTACGAGCATATTTGAATCCATTGCAGAAATGTATCTATAGCTGTTAGATTAGTAGCGGTGAATACTTTACAGCGGCCTTTACAAGTGGGATCTTCCATATTCAACATCAAATTATACAATACACCAAAAAATAATTATAATAGTAATAATAATAAGTAAGTATTATTCAAGAGAGCTTATGTCTATTTATCTCACTCAAGAAGTATTGCATACAATATACGTCGCTTTTGTTATACTTTTATAATCAACTGTTATGGAAATGAGATTCTACACGTGATAGGATCATGGCTTGAACTATTTATTGTCGGATGTTTTTGTCTAAAATTTCTTCTTTTATTAGAATTAGATGTAATGAAGCTCTTTACTGCTTATTCTATACAAGGATATTGACATAAGGAGTTACTAATATGCAGTACTCAATCTGGCATGAGACTATATCCAAAGTGCGATTCTATTCAGACGACAGCAGCTGTATAGTGTTTTAGAATGTTAAAAATGTGATCGATAGGATTGCAAGCATGGCAAAGTGTTGAAATTTCAGTCCATTAAACGAGTGTTATTAGGCAAAGTAATCAACCAGTAGAAGTAGTATAGTGAATTATAACTGTATAAATACTGTATAATATACTTTCCATAGCCAAAGACTCGAACACTGTCATGAAAAAAGCTGGAAAAATGATTTGTCAGCATTCTAAATATGTAAAATTGTCATAGTCACTGAAACTCGAATAACTGAATTTGTAAAACTATTACACATTTCCCAAAGCTATTCGATTTCAAAGTTATACATGATATAGGGCTGCCAGGTTTCCTAACTTCTTTTATCAATGAAGTCGCAGAGTCGAACAAATTACTAGTATAAATACCGGTACCTTTCAGTTTGATGTTTAGGAAACTACTGCTATTAGAATTAATAGACCAGAAATAATGTTTAAATGCAATATGTTGTTTTCTCGATATATGTCTAAAATATAGAGTAAAGAGGAGTCTAAAAATGGAAATTTTTAAAAATGATACTATTAGTGTATTCATACAGAAAAAAATGGTGTCCGCAACATGTTCTCTTCTCTATACGATTATGTCGTAAAATATAGAGAAGAGAGGAGCCTAATGATGGAAATTCTAAAAATGATACCATTAGTGTATCCAGAAAGAAACAGATAATCGACTACATTTTAAATATAAGTTTATACATGGACTTCTACGCATTGTCTGTAAGATAGCCCATAAAAGTAAAGAGCTACAGGCTAGGTAACAGTCATTGCCTAGAAAATTGGTGACATTTTTCGGATAATTAAATTGTTCATCTCACGATTAGTCAAGTTAATGGAAAAATCAAACGAGTTATAATCGCTGCTGAAGTCCTTGAATCAAACTTTTATGGCTCTACTTTTATAATTCCTGTGCAACACTCTTTGGATCAATCTCTAATGCTTGCAATCGCGTAGAATAAAGACAGCAAGTTCATTAATATTGTTAATATTATAATTAGTGACTAAATCTAAATTACTCTGTAAATTGAATGCTTGGCAATGATGGTTTGTACATTGTATTACTTGGTGTGAGCAATTTATTTTAAACCACAGGAACAACTCTTGTTAGATATGGCTATTACGAGGACAAGGGAGGTAGATTAGGACATAATCATTCAATAAGAAACTATTATGACGTAAGCAATCTATATCTCTTAACTGATTTACTTTACTTTAGCTGCATAAGTAAACTTAACTAAAGATTCAACTAATTTAGGAGCAAGCTTACGGTTAAACCGTATTTCCAGTTCTTTCTAGCTCTATTCAACTAAACCGAAGCCTATGCTGTAGTAAATTTTATCGTTTACTGGTTTAACAACAGGAAAATAGCTTATTTACAAGCAATAGAGTAACGTGAAGATTTAATTTCGGCATGGTGGAGATAGATATTCTTTTTCCTTTATTCTTATCTATATTTTTTTTAATAACTAGATTAGTTAATAGTAAATATCCTAATTTGTAGATAAAAATAGTGTGGATGATAGTATCAGTTAGGCTTAATTTTTCTATAAACTCTTAATTAAATCATCATTTAGATACGTGCTAAGCATAAAGTTATATAAGAGTACTATCAAAGGCGTGGTAAGCCAATTACAATTGTGGCATAATTACAGTATTTAGAAAGATAGATCAGCTTGAAATTAAGCAAAGTTATGATGGAATTTGCATAGAACAAATTCTGAAAGGCAGATATAGCTATAGAAGTAAAGAAATACTGCAATAAATAAATATGATATTTTATTTGGCGTCTAGCAAGTTACTCACTGTTTAAGTGTATAGATAAGATGGTACATAAAAGTTATGACAGACGATAAAATTAAAAGGGTATGCTACCACTAAGGAGCAATAGCTATTTGAGCGGCATCCATAGAGATGTCAATTTAGAAAATGTATCACAAATATTGAGATAATATACGAGAAAAAGCTATGGCATTGTCAAAGACAGTATGATTCAATTTTTTACCAAAGAAACGATTAAAAGAAAATTTGGTGTCATGGGTGGAAGAGTGCTAGAAAAGTAACTTGTGCTTCAATTAGTTCTCACGTCATGTTACTCTAGCATAGATAATACTACAATCTTCTTTAGTACTTACCAATAAGTGAGCTAAGTAATAGCAGCAAATTGAGTTGATGATAGATTGCCATGGCTTGGTTAAAGGTAAAAGTGGAACCTTTTTGCCATGCAATATATTACTAAAAGTATTCAATTTACTTTTTGCTAAGTAGAATTTGCTACCTCAAGTTGGATAGAAATTCTAGCAACTAATTCAACTAGAGAAGATCAATAGGATTGCCCTCTGTTCTAGAATATGCTAATTAGCGGCAATAGGTCTATTTTACGGCAAAATGGAGGATGGTACAGACAGGTAGAATTCTATACTATCTTATATCTATTGTTACTCAATTAGCTGTTAATGATTGGTGTATCAAAATCTTATGGACCCTTCCCAATCTTTCTTAATTTAGAAAGCACATTATCTCTATTAATAATAGTAAATCGTAAACAATCTTTAGTCTATTGTGAACAATATTATATCATTTAATAAAATTGTTTACGACCCCTGGTAATATATTCTGATGATAGAATATGTAATTACTAGTAGACCGTAATGCATAAGTTGAATGCGGACAAATAAAATGAATTATTACATTACAAGAGACTTTGCGTAATTAACTTTCTATGGCTGAAATTAATACTTGATCTCTTCCGCATTACTTGTAATATTCATGCAAAAGAGCTAAAAAAATAATGACTAGTATACTGTGGAAAGGCGATCTTCATGAAAATTGGTATTAAGATAAGGTAGAGATTGTCTTTCACTCTAGAGAATTAGTCTATCTTATTCCATATTATTTGCAAATAATTCGCAAAAATATTCCACTCTGACAGAAACTATTATCGATCTGTGTTACCACGCGGCTGACTCATTAATTACATTGATTATGATTTGTAATATACCGCTGCTCTAGTTGTCTTAACGATATGTACTTTAATCACTATTAGAAGCTGTGTTAATGAAACCACTGTTATTATAATGAAGAATAAAGTTTATACATATGATAATTACGGCTAAATGAATTATTAGGTCAAATGTTGATGTCCATCAACAATTCAACAATTATGTTGCAGTTTTTGACATTTGCTTATGTCAATAATACTCTAATATTTCCTATAATCATTCAAGTGGCTCCTCCTACCATGCTCCCGCTTCTTAAATAGCCGACTTGTCAGTAAATTAGGACGATAAAGGCGGTAATTTCAGCTAATGACATGTTTCAGTAGTAAACTTTCGATCCTTATGTGGGATATTTCCCTATCTTTATGCTCAGTAAAGTTATAGTTCTAATTCTTAAACTCAATTCAAAATTGCCATCGTTGTGTAATTCAATATACGATTTAAGAAAGCTCATATTCGAAGATAACAAAATTGCCCCATAAAAAATACCATGAATGAATTTAAGCTGAGCTAACGTGGAATAGAATCCAATAAAAGCCTGTCACGTAGACCTTGCTTCTAGAATTAGATCATTATATAACTGATTACTTGATTATGCTTATGCAGAGTTCATCGGCAGCATATGTAGATTTAAATAACAGTAGGTATACCTTGGGACATGCGATAGTACTCTAGAAAATACACATATACATAGCATTGACGTAGCATGGCTTATAATAAAGTTGAAATTAGAGGCAATGCTGAATCAAATCCAGTTCTTAATCTTTGCAAATACCTGTATTCTGAAAGTACCGTAATTTACATTGGCCTTGATTTAATTATATCGTAGACAAGGTAATATAACACTGTCATTATTTATGTTAGTTCAAGAAATAATATATAATACCCAGTTAACTATTAAACTATCAATTCCCATCATGAAGTACAGAGTAAATTACGAATTAGGACGAGAATTAAAACTACAGTTAAAGTTGTTGCTTCATTCTTCTTTCAATCTTCAGATGTTATGCATGATTATAAATTAATTTTTTAACCTCCTCGTCAACATACTTATATGATGTACAGGCTATACTACTTACGAGTAGACCTGATCATTACCTATAAAGTAGAATGATAGCTTACAAAAAATTGTCTTATTTTTTATTATTAATAGTAAGACTCTTCAAAAAAATAATTTGTAATTTGGCTGACAATTCTGGCTAGACAACACTTAGAATATGTAATTTCAGGTCTGAACTTTGACTCTATCAAGGCCAAATATGCAGGAACTTTATGTCTATAATAAGATGACATTGATATCTGTTCATGAACCTTAATTACGATAGTAACATTTATATCAATTTCTAGTATCCAATTTCCCCCTCCCCTTTAGGTCTTAAGGTTAAAAGTGTAAATTATAGACAAGTAATAAAAGCGGAATAGTGATTTGGTAACAATCGTAATTGAAAGTGAAGAATCTAGAGATGCAAAGCTTTCGTACAAAGTTTATCTAATATAAATTCTACGCTTACATATAAATGAAAGTTTGAGCTATAACCACAAGATTTATATGGATTACTAATTACCTTCGAGTTGTTTTTATCCCTTCGAAAATAGCCGCATAACACAAGTATGAATGAGCTAGAATCGCAATTTGATAATAATTATAATTTAAATCCAAAAATCTAAAGATGCTGAAATGCCGTTCAATACTCGTATAGTCGAATAAAAGTTAAGATGATGGTTTAAATTGTAATAAAGAGTCTAAAAGATATAAAAATGATATAGAATAGATAGAGAAGACTTCTTCTCTATCTTAAAATTTATCATGTGTAGTGCTGATCTCCTTTGCTAATTATGATAAGATAGCTAAGACGACGGCATTAATCAGCATTACGGTAGTATTGTAATGTCAATTTTTGGCTTTCAGATCTTAATTATTATACAGTAAATGGACAAATATTAATTTAAAAGGCAGAATCTAAGAGACAAAACTATATGATAAAGTACAGAACGTGTATCTAATGCAAGTTATACAGAAATGTTGCCTGTCTTGTTTTTGTTTTCTTATATATCTTTTAAATATGAGTATAGTATTAATAAAAAATCCATCTTGTGATAAGAAACGATCTTTAATAATTTAGATTTTTAAGCAACAATTCTAGAAAATGAATAAATAAATTGTTTAAATATACATGTATACTAGTGTACCCGGGCTAAATACCCCCGTTGAAAATTTTCTGATGCTTTATGTTGCAAATATGATACCAAGAAAGCAATCTTTGCTCAGGCTTTAAAATTAGTAATTTAGAAAATAAAAAACAAACAAACATGATTTTAAATCCATATAACTACAAATTTGAAATCAGTGATACTTTCACATTTCTAAGCAGCACTTCAAATTAAGGTGGCTCAGGGTAACTTTAAAATTAGCGTAATTTTGGTAGTTTATTGCTCAGGACTAGTACATCACAGCAACTACACATCATTTCACCTACGGCAATGAAGTCAAAATATATGAAAGCTGTAGTTCCTAAATTACGATCCAGTAGCACCCAGTAGAAGGCCATCTTGAGCGTAGAAATAAGGTAATAAGAGCAGTTAGAGCTAGTATTGCGGTAGTATATGATAATCTAAAAATCAGTAAATTAGAAGCTTACTGATGTATATATATAGTTAGCAATAGATGAAATACGATATGTTAACCATAAAGGCATAAATAAAAGGAAACACTGTATATGTACGTATGTAATACTACTTCCCTATATTAACTACAATCAACTCACAAGAATGAGTAAGACTCGGTTAATATAAAAAGTTTATTACGATGTTAAAATACAGGCATTAAAAACTACGGATATAATATCAAAAGAATATCTATGTCTTCTTCAAGCTAACCTATGAATGAATCTATCTACCTCTACAATTATATTAGCCTCCTTATATATCTATCTTTGATGTAAATATTTACATCAAAACTCTATCACAATTTTCCCTCCCTCAATTTTTCCTCTATCACAATTTTACACCGCTACATCTTTCCGATTCCCACCAATAGATAATTAATAGCAGATATAGCGCTAACATAGGAAGAACTGACACCATGTTCCACACAACTAGAGACAATTTAATATTACCGTTACAACGTATATGATGATTGTATGGTAGTACTTGTAATACAGTAAGTGATAACATTGTAAAAGGCGGACCGATAAGTTACTAATTGTAGTGCGAAGTATAAATTGTAATCGTATCGAGGTATAACCTCGTGTAGCTATAAATACCGATCAACTAATAATAAAATGCGGTTATCAATCTTATTATTGAAGAACATAACACTTACCCCAATAGGAAATTGGAAATTACATGACGTCTTGACAGTATAATAAAATTGCGAATATTTACTGTCTAATAACCTAACTATCATTCCATTTTTAGTATCTAATAACTAAATGTGCTCCAGCACTTCTATCAGCGACTACTAAAAATTATCTTCACTTTCGTCATTTTAGTAATCCTTGGATATGATCTTAATCCTGGAGATTCTGGGCCTAGAAGAATAATTATTGTAGAGCTAGCTTATAAATAATGATGCAATTTTACTACTTTTGCCCTTACTTAGTCATACAACTCTGGCAGATAATCTTACCGCAATTCCCTTTTTAATTTACAATAAAAACTGCTTTACTAAACAGAGACACTAAAAAATATATACTATTTGGTTATGGTACCCAAAGTAGTCTACTAGCCCCAAGATTATCGTCTAAGAGCTAGAATCATCTGTCTCTTATATTATTTCTATGTTCGATTCGTGTACCAAAACTATGTCGCATGAACACATCGACTGATACGATCTAATCACGGCCATAGTCACTGTGACTTAGCCATACAACCCTGACAGATGATCTTATCCCATTCTTTTACTTAATATATAACAAAATTATTACTTCGCTAAGGGCTACTAAAAATTAAGTTGATTGCCTGTTGTTGGTAATTCGTTTTAAACTGGAGATATCTATCTTAGAAATTTTAGCTCTGATTCATGGATGAGAATCATTAAAGTAGCAAATTGATAAGATCTAATTACCACCGTAGTCATCACTATTTAGCCTACAACACTAACAGATAATCTTTCTGTTGTTCTTTACTTCGTTTTTAATAACTATAGTAAACATTGCTCTCCCTGGAACTAATAATACCGTACTTTCATTCTTCAGTATACCTTTAGCAATTCTCAGGTGTCTAAGAAATCAAGTGCTGTATATCCTTTGCTCTAAATTTAATCTCTTTTGCTGTTATTTATTCCTTCTCGTATTAATGTCATCTAATTGAAATCAGCTAATGCAGGCAACAAACTATAATCATCTGCAAATTGTCATAATTATACCAATGATACAAACTATGCGTATATCTTGCACTCGTACAGACGCAGAAAATGCTTAAAACTGTTTTTTATTAATTTTAAAAATATGTTTACCGATCTGTTTTACAAAGTATTACATCAAAACCCAATATCACTTGCATGCAATAAACAGTATCATCCAAGACACCTTCTACATGGGGATGTTCGTATATTAATGTTACAGGAAAAGTAAGGATTTCAAGTCCTCAATCGGACTGCTTTTTAATATTATCCCCTATCTAGATTCATCTGATGACATAGACGGTAAAAAATACAAAGAATATTTCTTATTAACCTAGCAATAATAACTATCTCTATGCTATAATGGGTAATCAGTGTGATGAAATGGATCAATTTATAAAAAAGAATTGACAGCTAATCAGTAGGTAAGAATTGTAATAGTAGTACTAGGAGTAGTACAAGTAAAAAGGAGTATTAATACTATGACAGTGAACAATTGGGATTAAGTTCATAACCTGTCAAAAATTATGAAATGTGTAACAAAACAAATTGAGCGTAATTGAATCTATCACAACGCCAGTAATTCAATTATTGTAAATGGTTAAACAAATTGTAATATCATAGAAAATGTATAAAAATCGGTCGAATGGAAATAATCATTTACTGGTAGATATCAGCGTCGTCTTTGCTTTCATAAAGTGGATTGGCTACAGCCGTTTGGCCATCGCCACTGTTACTTTCTGTTGTTTCGCTGAAATCACGTAGTGTCGGTTCTTTATCATCATCTTGGTAGGCTTCGTAATTTTGATTTCCCAAGGTACGTTTGGTAAAGATTTGTGTTACTGATCCCCTACGGATAAAAAAAGAGTTAGAAATACAGGATTAATAAAAGTTGTTTGTTGATAGGGCATGCAATAAGAAGATTAAAGTAAGGCATAAATTGTGCATCATATTGTTAAAAGCTTACAATTTATCCGCTCTGTACATATAGAAAATTCCACCGATCAGAGCTACTGCAATAAGAGAACCAATGACTGCGCCAGCAATAGCTCCTCCTGCAACAGATAGATGAATTGATTAGAGAAACTAGATATCAATGAATCTTAAATTAGTCATGGGGGATATTAGGCATGCTTTAAAGTCTTACCGTTTGCAGTTTGACTACCAATTTGTGCTACATTAGTTACAAAATAGACAGGAGAAAAGATAACAGTTAAAAATTAAGGACTTGCTTTCAAAGTGGATTTGTAATCTTTAAGGAGACAGTATAACACTTACGACAGCCTGCTTCATCAGATGAATCATAGCAATCGGGAAAACCATTACAGTGTAGGGTGCTGTTAATACAACCGCCATTGTTACCACATTTGAATTCATTAGCAGTACAAGGTCTGTTGAGGACTCCTATGTGGGGTTGGAAATAAGAATTGAAGGGTTACGAATTTAGTAAATGTCGACAATATTAGCTTTCAATATTACGTTAAGTTTTATTTAATTTCAATAGATTTACTTGGATGGGTAATATATTAGATTTAATTGAATTATTATCGAACAAATTGTCCGCGTAGATAACTAGAAGAAAACAGAATAGTGTGAAAACTTACCACAACGGTCTTCATCCATAGCATTGTTGCAATCAATGATACCGTCGCAACGCCATGTGTTGGGGATACATACAGTTTTATTATTGATGGGGCATGAGAATGTATAGCTGGGATTGTTACATTGGTTATTAACTAAGGGCAATGGTACGATTGGTGATCCTTTTATGGATTAAAAGATTGATAAATAGCGTTAGATAAAAATAATGGTTTTATATCGTGGAATACTAATGATTTAGTAAGTGATGACGGCTGCAAAAATTACCTCCAACATAACATCCTGGTGTAAAGACAACATCGTCAACGGCCATATCACTGGTGAAACTAGTACCAAGAACTCCTTGGAATACAGCACGGAAAGGTTGAGCACTGTTGAGCATTGCATTACCTCTGTACCAACTTTGTCCTATTGATCATGAATTAAAATTCGATTTTGTTAATAGATGGATGCAACTATACACGTGCGTATTTAACAATTAAGGAAGAAAATCCAACAATAGCGAGTAGAATCATGATGTAATAAACAACCTTGATTGCCAGACTTTTGCCAAACTACACTTAGTGTACGATTTAATGTTACGTCCATGATGACAACTTTCAATGTTCCCATAGAAGCACCGTACATATTATACCAGAATTTAATCCAGCATACTCCCTGGCTAGCAGGTAAAGTGGGTCCAGCCAAGAAAGCTGTGTCGTAGTCGTTGCGTGGGAATGATGCTTCCGTAAAAACAAAGTAGCCTATAGAGAAATAAATTTATGCATCAGACAAACTGTTTATCATCCACTTTTAATTTCAATTTTAAGGTTACGATGATAAATGCCATCAAGATTGAATTTGGATTGAAAGCTATTGAAAAGCATTTTAATTTCATAACATTTTTCCATTTGTGATTTTCTTAACATTATGTTTTTAACGCTTATTTTATATCCTTCAATCTATTTCATGCAGTTACCAGTTGATGTCGATTGTGTAGTGTGATCGTTGTTTGGACCGGTGGAACCAGAGTTTGTTGTCATTGCTCGTGTCCAGTTGAAATCACCATTGAGCAAGTTGGTGAAGTTACAGAATCCAGTATCGAATGTGCAATCGGCATAGTTGTATTCTATATTAAGAAAAGATGGGGATCAATAAATGATTAATTGATCTTGATTAACGTGTATATTTTACACAATTGGTTCTTCGTGGCATTAAACGCTATTAATAAGATTGAAAATTTTGGAATATTTACTGCATGCAGATGGAGCCTCGTCGGAACCGTCGGGACAATCATTCTGGCGATCGCACTGCCAAAGTTTAGATATACATTGGCCACTTGTAGCGCATTTAAATTCTTGGCGAGTGCAGGCGCGTTGAGCTATGCAAGAAAAAAAAAGAACCCCCGCATTTTAATTTATTTCTAAAGTATAACCATAACGTCATTATTTTTAGCCAACAGCTTAGTATAAGAATATTATATCCCGAGTACGGAATTGAAAAAAATATTTTCTCTCTCACTTGTAAAACAGTTGTTGAATTGAATATCGTCCATAGCTAGACCATATAGCCTACTTGATCCGGTTGAACCACCGATTAAAATGCGGAAATTTTGTTGGATGCCAATATTAACGGTGGCTTTTTGCCATGCTGTTCCCTTGCTATCACCGTTGGTAAAGTATGCCATCTGGATAGTTTGAGTTGAAGTTTGAACATAGACGCCAATGAAATAGTAAGTGTAGATTCTATATTTTGCGTACCAGAAAGACATTGTACATTGTGGGCTTGATGCAGCATAGAGTGCGCTTTCTAACATTCCTACGTAACGATTTATTGAAGAGGCACCGGTAGTCATTGGTCGCATGTACATGTAATAACCAGATGAAGAGTTACTGGTATGATCGATTTTGGGTGCTCGCGAAATAGGATTGGATCCAGCCAGAGTTCTTGTCCAGTTACGGCGAGATCCGTAGCCAGCATTGTACCAGCCGCAAGTACCAGTATCAAAGTTACAATTGGTGCCACAGTTAGCTTCATCAGAGTTATCACCACAGTCATTCTTAAAGTTACAGACAGAACTTCGTGGGATACATTTACCATTTTTACAGCCAAATGAGCTATTGCTACTACAACCTGGGGTTGGGAATCCTGAATTAGGTGGTCTGACGGTAATACCAGGGATTTGAATATTGCCACCGAATGCACATCCACTTGTAAATGAAATTGCATCAATACCAATGCGTGCTGAGTACCTTGTGCCAACAACACCCTCAAAGACTACTTGGAATGGAGCACTACTGACAATCTTGACGGCAACTCTATTCCAGTAGTTAACTGAAGCATTAGCCACTGAAAATATCGTGTTCATACCATTTGCTGAAGCACTAGTACGAGTATAAACATTCAGTTGACCACCATTTGTAGCTGGAAGCATAAAGTAGTAGAATCGGAGATAACAGTTAGCATTGGATGATGCTGCTTTAAATGGTTGGGATGCAAATCGGCTAACATCGCCAGATAGAGCCGGGTAATAGGTATTTAAGTTCATGTAATGGCCAGTTGATGCACCAGTATCAACATCTCCACTAGGCCCATTGAATATTAATCCTGTACGACGTATCCAATTGGGCTTGTTAGGCGTATCAAGGTAGAAATAGCATTCATCCAGCTCAAATCCACATCGACCCATTGCATTCTTGCTGCAAACGCTGTTAGTTTCATCTTGTAGGCCACCACAATCATTGGCATAGTCACAAACATATTTAGGATCAACGCAATATCCATTACCGCAGGTAAATGTTGTTTGAGGACATACTGGTTGTCGAATAGGTTGTATGCAATTATTCAGTTTAATATCATCTAAAGCAATATCACCATTGTATAAAAAGCTTCGTGTTCCTCTAAATTGTAATTGGAAACTTTGTCTTTGGCCAACTTTAACACTTACTTGGTACCAGGTATTAGCTCTACCGCCATTTCTTGTCCATAATTGAGTTAAAGTATTACCTCGCTTAGCATTAAGAGATAATCTGCCAACATGAGAGCCATACATATGATACCAAAAAGATACTACACATTGTGAACCAGTTCCACCGATGATAGGAGAAGTTAATATTGCTACGTCAGTAAATCGGCCAAAAGATGCATCAGTATAAACATAATAGCCTTGACTAGTACCTAAAGTATGATCAACACTAGGTCCAGTGCTTCCAGTATGAGTAGCACCATTATGGCGTTCCCATTTGAATTTAATAGCTGTTGAATTGACCGATGTAAATGCACCATTGACAGATTGCGATTGCCAACCGCACATGCTTTGTTCGAATGAACAAGTTTGTTGTATACAAGCAACTTCATCACTGTTGTCAGCACAATCTTGTCTGAAATCACAAACTTTAGAGAGTAAAATACATTTACCAGTGCTACGGCAGTTAAATTGTGTATTAAGATTGCAAGTATGGGATACAGCAGTTGTTGGTGGTGGTGCAGAAGTGGGTGGAAGTGGTGGAGCATAGGGTAAGGATTGTGTTGTAGACTTGCAAGTTGAAGTGAAAGAAACATCATCGATTGCGATATCACCAGAGAAACTATCGCCAACAGTAGCTTGGATAACTAATTGTGTCAATTTACCAGATGGTAAAGTCACTGTCACTTTACGCCAGATATCACCTTGAGGACCTCTTCTAGCAAAGAGTTGAGTCATAGTTCCGTTACTTTGTGTTCTAGTTAAAATGGCGAAATTGCCAATGGTCTGACCGTACATATGGTAGTATAAAGTCATTCTACAGTTGCTGGTAGATGTCAGATCAAAAACTGAGCTCAATAGATTAGCAACTTGTCCATATTGCAAAAGTCCAGATGTTTCTAAGTAGTAGTAATAACCTTTGTAAGTACCAAGAGTGTGATCACGACTGGGGCCAGTATAGACGCTGAATGTAGGTCCAGCTCTTCGTGTCCAATTCAATTGATCAGTGACTAAATCTTGCGTCAAATAAGCACAATTGGGAGTTTCAAAGTTACATTGCTTATAAGTTGAGCATGAAGCTTCATCGGAGTTATCACCACAATCGTTTGTCATATCGCAGACTTGATCATTTGGAATACAGGAACCGCGTTGACAACGGAATTGGCCTAAAGAACAGGTAGGTTGTGATGGGGCATAAGCGCAATTAATAAAGTTGACATCATCGATTGCAACAGCTCCATCGAAGGCAACAAAATGGAAACCATAGAAAATAATCTATAGAATAAGAAAATAAATGAAGTATTACTTTTGTATCTATTAGATGTAGCGAGTAGTGTTATTTTAAATTGTCATCGATGTCATTAATATGTAGTTGTACAGACATAGTATAACTGATTGCTACTAACTGTCATATAGTAACATGCAGTACTATAATCGAACATAGTGTTCGATAGATTAACAGATATTTTAGAGATAGTATGTATAAGATGCGTATTATTAATACAGCAATGAGTTAGTTCGATAGCATTTTAATACTTTACTAGATCCACAAAATTATGCTCATCTATAACATTAAGGAATGGTAGGTATTGACTAAAATAGGAAGTCTATATAAGTAAGTACGTGTGTTCATCGAGATAGTTGACATTACATTAATTGCTTACTTGGAATGGTTTAGTTCTGGCACCAATGCCTACTGTAGCATTACGCCAACCAGAGGAAATAGTACCTTGTGTTTCCCACAGAATCGTTGGTTGAGTATCGCCTTGATTTAATATGTGTGCTTGAAGTCTGCCAGGAGAATTTCCGTTGTAATAATACCAAAATTGCAATAAACATTGCGAGCTAGCATGTTGGTACATTCCAGTTGTTATGTTTGTTCGTAAGTTATTGTAGGGTACACCAGCACTTGGATTGGTAGGCGCAATTACACCACCGTAGTAGACATAGTGGCCATTGCCTGTTCCCGTAGAATGATCAGATCGAATACTTTGCTTTTCTGCTGCATCATGGGCTAATGCATACTGCCATTTAAAGGTATAAAGTGGATTGGTGCTTTGGGTTACTGTCATGCCGCACATATTTTTCTCAAAATCACATTGAGATGGACAAGCCCATTCATCCGATCCGTCGCCACAGTCGGCGATGAAATCGCAAGTTTTACTCTTAGGGATGCAGTTACCATTATTATAACAACCAAATTGTGTTGATGAACAAGTATTGGGAGCTCGTTGTGTTGGTGTTGAAGTAGTCAATGGAGCAGGTGTAGAAGTGGCTGTCACTGGGAAAGTACCTGTGAATAGCTGGCATCCTGGTGTGAGTGAAATATCATCGATGGCAATATCACTGGTGAAACTGCTACTAACAGCAGCTTCGATAACGACTTGGAATGGTTTACTAGATATAAGTGGAACTGATGCACGAAGCCATGATGGTCCCTTGTTGCCGTAAAGACTTAGTCGGGTAGTATAGGTACCACCAATACTTGTTCTATATCGAACTCTAAGGTATCGAACTCTGCTTCCGTACATGTTGTAGAAGAATCGGATACGACAATTGGAAGCACTAGTTGTCGCTGCAATTGGTTTACTTGCTAATCGAGCGATATCGTTAAAGTTACGACGAGAGCCATCAGCATAGGCATAATTACCGCTATAAGTACCAAGAGTATGATCGCGGTAAGGGCCAGTGTTAGGTGTTGCTGCGGGGCCATTGGTAATAGACCAATCGAAATCATCGTCCTTAAGATTAGTCCATCCGCAGAATCCAGCTTGGAAATTACATGTCTGTTGGTAATTAACACAGTTGGTTTCATCATAGCCATCTAAACAATCTTGTGAGAAATCACACAATAAATCTTTGCTAATACAGAAACTGTTTGGACAGACGATTTGAGATGATGAAGGAGTAACACATTGAGTAGGTACTTTACAACTACTAAATAAAAGATCATCTAGTGCAATATCTCCTTGGAATCCACTGCCACGTAATGCTTCAAATTGAAGCTAAAGAAAAAGTCAAAGAAAAAGTGAAAGATATACATTGATATTAGTATAATGTAATTGATTGATCGATTATTTCGTTATACTGAGTACATTTATATAGAAGCAATAGCATTAAAAACGCTATAGGGGTAATTAAATTTACCCTGAAGGGTTGTTGTCTTCTGCCTATGGTTACTGCAGTTCTTGACCAATAATTTCCTCGGTTACCGCTTAATCCCCATAATTGTGCAATGCGCTGACCTTGAGCATTGAGCATGTATAACGCCAGTGAACCAATATCTTGGCCATACATATGACTATAGAAAGTAAATTTACAGGTTGCAGGTACTGGTTGAATAAGAGGTCCACGTAGATCAGCACGATGGCCAATTCTTCCACCAGAAACTTCAGTATACATGTACCAGCCTGAGGTAGAGAAAGTAGTATGATCATAGCTAGGTCCTGTACTAATAGATGGAGTGCTGCCTTGACGTCTTGTCCAGTTAAAGTTATCAGTGTATGAATTTTGCCATCCACATTGTCCGGTTTCGAAAGTACAAGAGCCACAGTTGGCTTCATCAGAACCATCGGAACATTCAGTAACGAAATTACAAATGGATGACATAGCTAAGCATTTAGATCCTGCATCGCAGCTAAATGTAGTACATTGGCCAGCTGGAGTTGGTGATGCAGTTGGTTGTCCAGGTAGTACACCGCCAAATTTGCATCCAGGTGTAAATGAAATATCATCAATGGCGATATCACCTTGGAAGCTTGGTCCTACTTTGCCGGTAATAACTACTTGATAGGCAGCTGAAGATGTTGGCAAATTGACAGAAGCTTTGATCCATGATGGGCCTTGGTTGCCTGATTTCGACCATTGTTGACTCATAGAGCCAGTATAACTTGTTCGTGTTGATACAGTAAGACTACCAACATCCGGTCCAAGCATGTTGTACCAAAATCGCATAATGCAACCGCTAGAAGTTGGCGATAAAATTGGACTACCAAGGGATGCAGTTTCATTGGGTGATTGAGGGAAAGAAGTTTCAATCATATAATAAGTGCCTAGTGAAGGAGATATGATGATAATTATTAGATTGATCAATTCTGTCAAAGTAGATCATGATCATAATGGTAACCAAGGGGATATAGGGATATTCATAATATCCTTAAAGTATATGAAAGTTGAATACTGTATAGAGGAAATGGATTTTAGATTTAAAAGCTTACCTGTTGAAGTTCCAGTGGTATGATCAGCTTGGGGTCCTGTACCAGAACTAATGGTACTGCCTTGTTCTGCTTCCCAATCGAAGTTATCCGATTTCAATTGCATCCAACCACATAAGCCATTTTCGAAATTGCATCTGGTATAGCCAGCTAATTGAAATAAGCAGATAGAAGTTATAAACTTGTCATCACAACGAATCACCTACTAGGGCTCTTATAACATCTAGATATCTCGAAAAATAATTCGATATTGACTTAAAAGTACTTATGTAAAGAGATAGTATAATCATCAAAATGCAAAATTTTCGAATTCATTGCTTTAAATGAGCTAGATAATATATCGCTACGTGTGTTTTATTGGATGAAAATTTGTTACTTACTGCAAGAGTTTTCGTCACTGCTGTCGCAGCAATCCTGACCAAAGTCACATTTGCTACTAACTGGATAGCAGGCGCTATTATCTGCGCATTTGAGTTGGCCACTTGCACATGTAGTTTGGGTAGTCTTTAAGCAATTATTTAATGATATGTCATCAACGGCGATATCACCTGCCGTTCCAAAGAAATCTGTTGAACCAATGAAGGAAATCTATCCAAAGAATAAATATAGCATAAATTAAACTGTGACTTAAATTAAAAATGGATAGGGTAGTACACTATTCCATATACCTGGAATGCTGATGCACAACGTGGAATTGGAATATTTGTAGCTTGTATCCATTTATTGCCTTGACCGTTTGATTTTGACCAAAGTTGTTTTGTTCCTGTAGGAGATGCAATCTGAACTTTAAGACTACCAATATCGAAGCCGTACATGTGATACCAGAAGGATAAAGTACAGGATAGGCCGGGGTTCTGGTAAAATGGACTGATTAGGTAGGCATTATCACTAAATGTTCCGTTATCGGCTTCAACATACATGTACCAGCCTAAGGTAATGATGAATGATCAATTAGACGTAGAAGGCAATTTCTTGTATGAAAAGCATTAATTATTGCTCAATTACAAGTAGAAGAGCTATCGCTGTTCACACGTCATACAATATAGCTAAATAAGAACAACTTCAACATAGCACAGCATAGGTCAATATTGCACCGCGCTATAAACTTTGTTCAACATGCTTACCGTTGCCATTTGTATGATCAGTAGTTGGGCCAGTGAATTGGGTTGGAGTACCACCTCTATTTCTTCTCCATTGGATATCACCAAGTTCTTTAGGACTTTTCCATCCACACATTCCGTTTTCGAAAGTACATGAGCTTGGGCAACTAGCTTCGTCAGAATTATCACCACAATCGTTTCTAAAGTCGCAGAACACAGATGAAGGCTTGCAAGGTCCAGTAGTACCACATCGTCTTTGTCCGGTTGGACATCCTGGATCGGTCTCTATATAACAAGGTTAAAATGCAATGAAATTAGATATTATAAACATTCACATTATCATCGTCTACATTTAAACCTTGGCATTTTTAGTTGAAGTTGAATGGATACAGTAAACTTACGTTGTGCATACGGTAGTGGTGTATTCACTTTGGTGCATCCAGAAGTAAAGCTGATATCGTCGATGGCAATATCTCCCCAAAGGTATTTACCATTGACGGCTTCAATGACAACTTGGAATGGTGCATTCACAGAGAAAGTAAGACTTGCTTTTTTCCAGATATCGCCTTGGTTACCAATAATTGAATATTGCTTGATAAGCGGACCCATGAAATTGGTACGAGCATAAATGTTAAGACCGCCGATATCGGGACCGAACATATGATACCAGAAGCGCATCTAGGATTATCAAAAATGAATAATTTATAAATAAAAAAGGTAGATAGCTGCATAATTTATTTAAATTATATTGATTAATTAATTACTGTAGCTATTCGAGTGCAGCCATGATTTAATGGATTATATCGCTTACTAAACTATTTTTTTTTATTTTATTACAAGTATGCCGTAGGAGTATTGTATACCTGACATCCAGTGCCTGGAGTACCAAATGTTTGAGGAATAGTTTGTCGGGCTGTTTTATTGAGAGAGCTACTTCTAGCGGAGAAAAACATGTAATAGCCTTTAGATGATGCCAAAGTATGATCAAAATTTGGCCCGCTTAGAGAACTAAAGGTACCACCAAAATCTCTTCTCCAATTGAATGTATCGGTTTGATCTTGGATAAGACCACAATCATCCTTTTCAAAGTTACATGACCATGGTAAAGCAGCGGCTATCAAGGTAAAATTAATCAGTTTAATCTAGACTTGTACTCTGCTATATATCATTTCACTCCATCTTAAATCAGAAGAATGATTAATTATTGTGTAAAATTATATTTACCACATCCGATCTCATCGGAGGAATCACCACAATCATTAGCAAAATCGCAAACGACTGAAGGACTGACACATCTACCATTTTTGCATTGGAAGTTACCAGAGAAACATGGAACTGACGGTGGCATATTGCATCCAGTGAAGGATATATCATCGATGGCTGCAACACCGTTACTTGTTGAAAATGATGAACCGGAAATTCTAAATTCAAGCTATGTTATTGAAAAATAAATTGAAATGAGTTGTAGCTACAAATGGATAAGATCTAATATAAAATTATATTTATAACATAGAACGTTTCTATTGAGCGGAAATAGCGATTGAGTTTATCAATTAGTGAATAAGAAGTAATTTTCAAGTTGGATTGTTAACTTAGAACGTTTATTTTAAGCTTGAATAAAGTCTAACCTTATATCCTTGTGAGCGATGTCCAATACCAGCTGATGCATTAGCCCATAATGGTTCATTAGGATTAGTAATGAATGAGAATGAACTTCTCCAGAGTCTTGTTGAAGTTCCGTTTTGAACAACATACAATCCAAGTGTACTAGAAATAGTTTTATTATACCAGAAGCTAATGGTACAAGTATCGTATGCTGCAGGCATCATAGGGCTAGTTAATTTGGAATCTGTTAAGAAAGAACCACCCTTTGCTTTTGTGTACATATAATAGCCAAGACCGCTATTACTAGTATGATCATACAAGGGACCATTGAAAGATTGGCCATTGCCAGCACTATCGCGTATCCAACCGCTAATTCCACCGATGCTGGTATCTCTCCATCCACATTGGCCTTGATCAAAATTGCAAGAGCCGCAGTTAGGTGTTGACCATGAAGAACAGCTTGGTACTTGAGAAGGAACAATTGTAGGAAGAGTACCAGTGGGAACGGATGGGACAGTGCCACTGGCATATTTACAATCCGTAGTGAAAGAGATATCATCAATAGCAATATCACTTTCATCCGATGATCCACGTACAGCTTCAATCATAAAATAGAAATAGCGTGAGCTGACAACAGGTGCTTCCATTCTCAACCAGACATCACCAAGTTGACCTGATCTTGACCAAATTTTAATCAATTTACCACCATTGGGCACAGCGTAGACATTGAGAGCTCCAATGCCAGTGCCACGCATATGATACCATAATCTAATTTTACATTTACCCGATGTATTGGGTTGGAACCATTTACTCTTGAGTTGAGCTTTTGCTCCTGCACTTTCGAAGAAACCATCAATATACAAGTAATAGCCTGTAACAGTGCCGGTAGTATGATCTCTTGATGGTCCAGTATAAGATGTAAAGGTTGTTCCCGATGTTCTATCCCAATTGAAATCATCACTACCAGAAACTTGAGACCAATCGCAAATTCCATTTTCAAAATTGCATCCATTGAATGCAGCACATTGAGCTTCATCGGTACCATCTCCGCAATCATCTTGGAAATCGCAAATAAGGTTAGAATCAACACATGCCTTGGTTTGACCGCAATGGAATTGATTGCTTGAACAGCTAGGCAATTTTGGTGGCATTCCACATTCATACATGGAGATATCGTCAATAGCCATATAACTTCTGCCCAAGAAATCGCGTGATCCTTCAAATGTTAATTGATAAGGTTGAACTCTTCTTCCCATATAAGCAATACCTTGTTGCCATTTGTTACTATTGACATTTCTAATTTTGATCATTCTAGTTTTAGGGATAGGTCCTTCGATAAACGAGACATCTAAATCGGATGTTCTAGTAGAGTTACCGTAGGAAAAGTACCAGAAACGAACTTGGCAAGTTGCACTAGTTGGTGGTAACTTTTTACTGGTTAATTTAGCATCGCCAAAGTTAAGGCCAGTAGCATCGGTGACAAGCATATACCAACCCGTAGTTGATTTGGTAGTATGATCGACTTGGGGCATAATATTTCCTTTCGGTGTGTCATATTTTCCACGTACCCATGTATCGGAGCCTGCATTTATTGTATATTGGCAAGTATTGCTTTCAAAGGAGCAGCCACCACAATTTAATTCATCTCTTCCATCAGGACAATTCATATTATAATCGCAAACTTGATTCGATGGAATACATTTGCTAAAGTCGCTATAACAACGAACAGCACATGGATTAGGAGATGGTGTAGCAGGTTCTGTTGGACAAGCACCATCATAAAAGATAACATCATCGATAGCGATATCGCTATAACTACCAGATCCTCGTATAAGATCAAAAGCAACCCAGTGGGGAAGAGTGCTGGATTGCAATGGAACTGCAGCATAATTCCATTTTGGACCTTGGTAACCAGTAATGTTTTTAATAACGGAATTAGAATTGATATCGGAGAAAACGACCAATAGTGAACCCATTTGATCCTTATTACGAGCATACATATGATACCAGAAGGTGAAACATCGAGGAGTAGATCTTGGACCAAATTCAGGACTAAAGAAGATGGCGTTATCACCTTTACTAGCCAGACTGGATTCAAGATACATGAAATGACCTATAGGAAAATAAGACATTGGCCCAAATTTAATGGATAGTAGCGTGTAAAGTTGTAGTGTACAAAACTATTGTAATTAGCTGAAATCACTACAAAAGTTGATGTTGATAATGTATGAAAATAGTATTGCAAGTCTAACATATTCTTGAATAGAGAAAGTTTACAGTCTACTTGCACCGCATTATACGCGTAAAGAGAGGTTATTATCATCTGGAGTTATATTTTCCCAGCACTACAGTCCTTGCTATTTTTTTTTTTCAGGCTATGATGGTATAGATCGTGTTAAATTCTACAATCTTATTCTCTGCATGTGTTCTACTTTAACGCTATTCAGATTCTCAATTTCTACCTTCGATTTTTGATTACATGTCAATAGCTAGTTGCAATATTAGTATTTTATACGTTACTTCATGACAGCTTACATGCTGTCCTACCTTAACTATCGTATTCTACGCGAATTCTAATCTACCATTAGGTATCCATTATTCGATTAAGATTTTGCTTCATCCACTGAGTAGCAACTTGATCCACTTCTATCGTTTATCGAATTTTTCATTATAATGTAATTATTGAAGTTATTATCACGAAATTGAAATAGATAGGATATATTTGATGGTAATAATCAGTAAAATGAAATAACGTTGCGGACTGATAAGCTAGGATCTCCAGTTATGCTGCTTTACCGTAGCTGTCGCATTCTACGCAAATTCCAATCTACCATAAAGTATCCATTTTACAGCTACCATTTTGGTAATATGATTATTTAAGTTATTGCCATCACATGGAAATGTACAGGGCAAATACTATAGCAAGAATCACTAAAACGAAATAACGTGGAGGATTGAGAAGCCATGATCTCCATCAAGCAGCTCTACCTTAACTATTGCTTTAAAGCTACATCAATTCTAATCTACCATAGAGTATCCATTTTTTCAACTATGACTTACTTCATTTACTAAAGGGCAACTTAGCCCACTTCTACCCATTTATTAAATCTACCATCGTAGTAAGACTAGTTAAGTTATTGTCACAAAATGGAAATGTATAGGATAAATGCTATAGTAAGAATCAGGGAAATGAAATAACGTTGTGGATTAACTCGACATGCATCCTAACATTACCTGCATCAGTTCCTAGGGTATGATCAGAGCTAGGACCAGTGCCTGCGGTAGGAGTAGGTCCACTCCATCTCAATAAATCTAATTTATCAAGAGAGACTGCATTTCTCCATAAGCAAGTGCCTTTCTCAAATGAGCAATCACCCAATGGTGGGCAAACACCTGGTGAAATGTTGACATCATCAATAGCGACGGTACCATTGATGCCAGTGGCACGAGCAGCTTCAAAGGTTATGAAATAAGGCTGCTGACTTTGGACAGTAACTTGCATTCCTAGCCATGCCCTAGCAGCTTCGGTAATTCCTGTGGTAGGGACACTCCATATTTTATTCAATGTCCCTCCGATTTGTGTGTAAACTGACAATGAACCATAGTTGCTACCATAAGCAATATACCAAAAGCTTAAACAGCTACCAGCAGTAGGTGGTTGTTCGTTGCTATTTAATCGTGCTACAGCGCCAGTACTTTGCGATTTCATATTGGCAAAGAAACTATGACCAGATGATGTATACGTTGTGTGATCATTAATAGGTGACCATTGGCCTGCAACTCCGGCACCGGTAAAATAGGTCCAATCGAAGTTATCGTTAATATCTTGTGTATAGCCACATCTACTGGAATCTTCGAAATCACATAAGGAACGAGGAGGACATTGCTGGAAATTGAATTTAATATCATCAACGGCAATATCACTTCTATAATTGCCAGAAATGTGAGTGGTTTCCAGAACTAATTGGAATGGAATACTTTGTTGGAATTGAAGTTGTGCAAGTTTCCAACTTGGACCTTGATTGCCTTTGCGTGTCCAGACCTTGGATCCGAGAACATTGCCAAATTTAAAGTAGACATTAAATGTATCAATATCTTCACCAAACATGTAGTACCAAAATCGGAAGCACATAGGCCCAGTAGTTGGGGTAATAGTAGCGCTAATCAATCGAGCAGTGTTATTACTGAAGAAATGGGATCCTTCAACATAAGCATACCATCCACTTGTACTCGATGTGGTATGATCAACGCGTGGACCAGTATCGGAAGAAGATGTCGGACCTTGATGTCTAGTCCAGTTAAGAGAATCGGTAAGATCTTGAGTCCATGTACAAAAACCATTTTCAAAAGTACAATCATAAGAAGTAGATGGTAATGCAGTAGAAGCCTGTGTTGGCTTTGGTGTTGGTCGAGTAAAGGAAGCATTACAAGTGGTGGTAAAGGAAATATCATCGATAGCAACATCAGAAAGGGAAGATTGGCCTCGTGTTGCAACGATTAAAATTTGATAGGATTGACTGGAGCTAAATGCAACATGAGCATTATGCCAAACATCGCCAGCACTTGAATTTCTTAACCATAAGATACTACCAAAATTGCTGCCAACTTTTTGGATATAAATGGATAAGGAACTTGCTTGGCCAAAAGCGAATGGGCTATACATATGATACCAGAAGGATAAGCAGCGTCCATTAGGAGCGGGTGGAAAGACCATACTTTGTAAAACCGTTTTTTGTCCACGCTGACGGCCAGTCGCTTCCATATAAATATAATAGCCATTAGCCGTTCCTAATGTATGATCACTGAGTGGTCCAGTTAAAGTGCTTGGAACAGATCCTTGATGTCTGATCCAATCGAAGTTGTCGCCAGCAATGGCGTTCATCCATGTACAATATCCATTTTCAAAGTTACAATTACCTGGTGGAGGGCAAGCTTGATCAAAAAAGCTGACATCATCAATAGCGATGGTACCCTGTCCATTAGCAGTTTCAGCTTGAAAGACAGGCTAAATAAATAAAAAATAGGAAGGAATTTATTTAAGCATAGCTTTCATAAGCATTGATTAAGGTTGCTAATCCTATCGTATTATCAACAGGATAAAGTTAATCGTCTTTCTAACCTGCCAAGTGCCTGAAGTACTGTTCATGGTGACCTGGCCTGGTTTCCATAGACCTTGTTGATTACCCGATTCTTGCCATAACGGTGTGCCTCTTGCACCATTGATTTGATTAAAAACTCTTAATGTACCAGCATTAGCAGTTAATCGATAATAGAAATTCATACACTTGCCAATTGGAGGAGTTGGTGGAAAGGGTGGACTGATCATGACACGAGCCGTTTTATCCGGATTGCTACTTGATGATGTATACAAATAGTATCCTACAGGACTTTGAAGTGTATGATCCATTGGTGGTCCTTGACCATTTTGATCATTGCCATTTCTACCTCTTATCCAATCGAAACCATCGGTTTGATCTTGAACCCATTTACACGTCCCGATTTCAAAATCACAATTGGTGGTTAAAGGACATGCCTTAGGGATCATTGAAATATCATCTAATGCGATATCGCCAGCGAAACCAGATCCACGTTTTGCCACAAATTTGATCTAATAAGTAAATAGTTATAGAGTATTATCAAGAGTTGAACAGATACGGATTATTTCACCTTAATACATTATCCTATTGATGATAAATTTTAGAACAGGAAATACCCTATTGCAATGGAGGAATAAAGTACGCCTAGCTATGAATAAATAGGCTTTTTTTCATCGCTGATATGAACATAAGTATGCGTTATTAATTTTAAGCAACTGATTGTATTCGAATTGCTTTTAACTCTATTTACAGCTATGACTCTATAGGCTTTCTTTCTCGTCACCAATATGGACAAGAATATGCGTCATTATTAATTCAAGTTGAGGATTAAACTCCAAATACTCTAAACTATATTGTAGCTGTGAATAGGCAGACTTCGTTGATTATCACTGATATAGACTGGAATATGCGTCTAAATTTTAATTTACGGATAATACTTGATATCCTTGAAGTAGATCGTAAATTATAACGATTGACTATAGGATTGGATAAGAATAATTTTTCCTCAACGATTCCATGCGCAGTAAAATAAAGTGAGTACCTGATAGTTGGTATTGGGACTAAATTGTATCCTTGCCAATTGCCATTTATTTCCTTGGGTTCCACTACGCTGCCATAACAGCGAATCTTGGTTGTTGACGGTAGTCGATACATTAAGCGTAGCTACATCAGGTCCATACATATGGTACCAAAATGTTAAGCATGCTTGACCACTTGTTACCAATGGAGATAAAAGGGTAGCTAAAATATTGGACTGGACAAATGAGGCTTCTATGTAGATATATAAGCCTAAGGAAAAAATAATCATATGGAAAAATATTCAGTTGGAATAGATTAACCGATAATCCTATTCGATATCATCCATATTAATATCGGTTAGATTACTTGTATTCTAAATATTATATTTTATCCTTTTCGCCTGATAGACCATCATCTACTACAGCGTTAACCTAATCCGGTAGTGTGATACCGGTTACATTAATTAATTGCTTTTAAAATATATAAGCATTATACGTGTACAACCGGCCACGTTGCCGGCGATCTCTCTAATATTTATTGTAACGTAAAATAGAGTATTTATACTTCTTTGCGTGATCAGTGATCATTAACTACAGTACTAACCTGATCCAGTAGTGTGATCTTGAGAAGGCCCAGTACCAAAACTTGCAGTACTGCCATTATTTAGAGTCCAATTTAATGGAGCGTTAACAGGTTGTGTCCAACCGCAAAAGCCAGATTCAAATGTACAATTAAATTGTGCTTGACTACTTGCCACTATAGCATAAAAAAAAAGGATTTGCAAATGAATATTTTAAAGCAATTACCAATTGAAGAATACAAACGTTTATTTCCTATATATATTTTACCATGATATTATCATGGATTAGCCGTCATTTCATGACAATGAAAGTTTTAGAGGAATTTTAAAAGTCTATAGATTACAACTCTATGTCTAAAGTCAGACAACTTCAAAATCAATCGGATTCGAATTTTACTGTTACAGGAACGTTATCGTATAGCTAGATGATATCATCCTTTTAGTAGCCAAATTTCTAGAGGATGGCTATCATCTAGTACTACAGCTATAAATTTAATCCAGTTGAAATTTAAAACTCGCGACAGTCTTAATCATGGCCGAAGATTGCTATATGAAGACAGATTATTTTTGGATACAATTTTGAAAGATTGGCGTTAATATAATATATTGCCGCCTTATGCCATCATTCTTAGTCGCTCTACGAAGCGTTCACAGTGACCTTATGAGGTCATTTTTTCCACTCTTTTCAATGGTGGAGTGAACAAAGATCAAAGAAAGATGAAAGGAAGGCTTATATCAATTCAGTAGGAAGGGGTTAATTTATATGCCGGAACTTTTCGAACATCGACAAAGATTTATTATAGGAAGCTAACTTAGAGTGCGATGACAGGCGATTGCTTGGTCAGAACCATTTTGATTTTATTAATAAGGCACATTTAGCAAGGAAAAAATTGTTTGCGCATTTTCTACGCCCATCTTATAGATAATATGAAGTACATGGCAGATAGACGTCAATGCATACGAAAGCCTTATTAGGCTTCGTATTTAATCTGCCATGTGCCAGTTTTTATATGACTATTCTCTATATAAATTATAGGGATTGTCTTTTTCAAAGAGGAGAGCATTATATTAATTAGTGGTGGTCTTGTATAACGTTAACGGACAAAAACGTGATCATGATGATTGCATTACGAAATAATTATGCATAATCGTTCTTGAGCCATTCGTTACAACCTCATTATCATATTACATAATTGCATTGAAAATAGAGCAGTCTTCGTAAAGGATAGTTTTGGTCTTATAGCGATATTAAATTAAAGTAAATATTACTTGCTCTTACATAGATGAAGATAGAAAGAAAAGAAATTCTAGAATACATAGAGGTTTAGTTATAGCATTTCTTCCAATTCTGCAATATACTTTAATCATCGATTGTTACTTCATTTTACCGGACTAAAATAGGGGATGACGATATGATTTTTCTGATTTTATTAATCATTGTATTCTTGCTAGTAAATTTATTTAAGGGCGGTGCCGAGCTATTCAATTGTTATGTTATTTAGTTGATTATATCAAAAGCTTAATATTGATCTTAACTTAAGCAGTCAAAATATATGTTAATTAAAATAACATTGTATTGTCATTTTGATAGGCAAGAAAGCAAATTAAATCTAAAAGTAGGGTAATAAGTTCAAGTCTTCATCTATACAGTATATGTACCTTATAGACTAGCCTAGATCTGTATTCTGAGGAAAAAACGGACAATAGTCAATTACTTTATTCTCTAATGTAATTTGCTCAATATACTTAATATTCATGGTGGTCGAGAAAGCGCAATTTATATGTATACGCAGTATAAATGTCTGCAATCTCTGTAGTGGGTAGATTATTATTAGTAGACTATTCGGAAAAAAAATCACAAATAGTGTAGTTCCGATAGAGGAGGATAGAACCCAGTAGCCACATTATATGAAATAGATCTCATAGTTGTCAATAGGAGCATATAAATTTAGGGGCAGGGGAAATAGTAATTTTTTCTTATCAGTTTAATAATTTTAATGCGCTATAATTTATTACCTTATAACTCAGGTCATCAATTAATTATAGTTCAGACTAATATGAATTATATAATTATGGGAGATATGGATGATATTGCGATATTTTATATGGACGGATTTGATTATGAATATGTACAAGTGATAGCTTGGCGTTCATCAAGCGTTAAGAGTAGCCAATTTTATACGCGATAACGTAAATACGAGTTAGACCATTTTTGGTATAAGATGAGATTAGAATTTACTTCTCACTAATATTTCAATCGAAATATATTGTAAGAGGTTTATAATATATTTTATATTGACAATTTTGCACGATATATGCATGAAATGAAAGCTATTGAAAGTAGGCGGATAAATTTTTACAGCGTAATCTTTATCGAAATGCGATGCGTGTAGTGAGCTTAAAGTAAGTAAATTTTTAAAAATTAATTAATAGCAAATTCAGGTTACATAACTATCAAAATTTATGATTATACTATTATTTTTAATTACTGAAAGATTTATTGGCGATCCAATTAATTTTTAGCAAGTTTTAGGAGTTATTATTTTACATAACAGCCTCACCTGCTAAAAGTAGCAACAGTCCTAGCGCAATCATCTTGGCGGCCATGCTTGCTTTAGGGATAAAAGCAAGAGATTAGAAGGTCTGCTTTAGTAATCGCTTATAATAACTATAATTTCAATACCGAGGGCAAAACATGGTACAAGGTACATCATGATACAATGTAAGATATCAGATGTTGATTGGTAGATGGGTAGTTTATAATTTGCATAACAATTCTGTACTTGTGCACCTTGATCATTGGTATTAGTGTGATTAGTACTAAGTTATGATTTTTCTTAATCAGATCGGCTGAGCTTTGATGGTGTGGATTATACTTTCGTCATCAATTTTATTAGTTTGATATGCGTAATAAGCAGTCTAAACAATTGAGTACGCAACTTTGATCTTAAGAATGCCTGCAATTTCAAGAGCAATTTTAAAACTACTTTCATATCTGTCTGTTTAATATAATTTTACTGAAGTAGAAAATGAGACACAGCTTGTAAAGAGTATCATGACATGGACTGATCATTCAGCTTTATCTTTGAACATCTTTATTATTGTATATTCTATACTACAAGTTAATCTTAAGTATCAGTTATTTTAGCCAGTCTTAGTAATTGTCCTCATCGAGCTACTATCGTTATTACAACTAAGATATAGAGAGACAATAGGTGTTTTTACTTTTAGGATTTATTGTAAAATAGTACCCATGGTTACATTGCACTTCGTCATTTCTATCGACGTCGTTGCATGTTACGGTTCGATGTTGTTGTTTTCTAAATTTGAGCTTATTTTCCCATGAATATTAATGTATATAAGTTACAAGGTAACTTTATTCTGAAAGTAAGTCTGTAGTAATAATCTACAGAAAATGATAGCGTATTTATTGTCACCCTGTTGATAACAGAAATTTGTAGCGTTAACTCCTCTCAGTATACTGTACATACTGATATAGCTCTTCATTTGTTATACTATTTTTAAGTTTAGTATTGATATTAATCTAGTTAGATTGAATTATTAGAACATAAATGGTTGATTTACTTTCAGTTTGTCTAGTATCGAATGATCGTAACCATCATTTTTTGTTCTTTTGCATCTAATAACATTTTATTGAAATGTCTATAGTGCTATATATGAGAAGAGTTACCAGTGTCATTGGACTATGAGCATTTCCAATAGTAACCTTCCCTAATCTCCTTTTCTAATATTAATATTCTAGATTACCATTTACCGCTGTCCGGTAAATATCTTAAAATTTTGTAAACCTATATGTTAAAATTTAAACATTAGCTTCAAATATAATGCTGTCATCTCAGCTGTCATATGCATAGATAGACAACATAACCTTGTTATTGATCGAATAAAATACTAAAGGCTGTAGAGAATTTTTTGATTCATAGAACTACGTAATATTTCTGATAGCATTATCCTAAAAGCATGAATTATGTTTTTTCCGTATCTCGAAGATATCAATGTAGCATCATTTCTTGCATGTACATTAATCTGTAGCTAGCTTGCCTATCAGGATGATATAAAATCAGATGGATGCGATTCAATAATATATAACCTCATTTAATCGCACTGTATACCTGAAAGGATTTACGCTAAGGTCATCGATTCTATTATAATTAAGTCTTCCTTGTAAATGATGCTTGTAGCGCTTTACCATATAAAATTCGTTTTTTTATTTTCTAATTTATGACAGAATTAAAAATATCTATATTAAATGCTGCCTTGACTTTACCTACTGGCTGAGAATATTACGAGTGCATAGTCATTAGCCCGCATAGACCGAGGTATGTAACCGGTAGTTTATCTCCAACTAAGATTTCAGCAGAGATAAAGTACGGCAAACGTCTATTATGGCAAGTATTATTTTAGTGGAACAAGTCTATTTAGTTAGTTTGAATCTATTCAAAACGATTGATTAGCAAATAAACAAAATGTCTCCATATGTAGTGAATAGGTACAATTAATTGTCAATCGTCGATGTTTTAAATAACGATTACAGTAATGGAGCAGGGTCAATAACAGCAATTATATTTTAAAGTAGAATCCTCAATAAGAAGTAATTTATATCACAAGGGGCGTGGAAACGCTAATAATTTTGCAATAAATAAAGCTAAACGCCCAGTTTTGCTTTTAGTCAGTAAATCATCAGCAACAAGTTTTTGGTAAGATGCTGAGCACTAAGATAGTAATTCAGTTAGATTGCTTTTAGGTTAGTAAAGATAAATAGCAACAAGAAATGTAGGTCAGCAATATTGTTTTACCTTTATTCAAGATAGTAGTCAAGCTATTCGACATTTTCCGTTAATGTGATTAATAACGTCGAAACTTTCAAATTATAGCGTAATACGTTAAAAAATAGAGTAATTATTATCGGAACACAAATATAGCATCGATCATCTGCCTTCCAACTAGTATCAAATACAACGGACGAATTTGCTATAGCGTTAAACGCACCAAATCCAAAGATTAATAAAAAAATTGATTAATTATCAGTAATTACGAAAAAATAAATGCCTCAAGAAATAGGACATATTTCCTACAGTAAAAAGCCAACGTGTGCAAAAAAATTACCCATCATCCACTCGGTTAGGAATAAAAGGCGATAGCGCCAATTTGATTAATATTGACTTAATTGTGCTTAATTAAGTTGATTATTGACTTAGGTTTGGTTATCACGAGGCATCGTAGATTATTCGTATTATCTTGATGGCTATCTATTTGTTCTATCAGAGACTGTCATAGTTTAGCAATTAGAAAAGAATGGGATGGGCTAATTTGTTAACTGATTACTTAATGTCAGATCGATTTAAGGTCACATTGAGATAATGATAATTTATAATAATCTTGCTTGTCTGAATATTCATGAAATTTAATTATCTATGAATATTTGTTTCAAGCTAGGCATAAATTAATTATTATATTTTGCGAAAGATATATGCAATGCATAAGTTAGGTCAATTATTTTCTCCCCTACTTTAACCTTTCCTTATATGGTAATTCCATCTTCATTTGCTTATTTATAGTTGGAGTAATGACAAATGCATATTGAATATTGAAAAATAACTGATACCATAATACTTGATGGCTATTATAATTCGTGAAATTTATGCAGTGAACTCTCTTATATGACAAAAAGATTTCTAGTTACCCTTTGTTCCAGTAATTTTACTGATATGACCTATGTTAACGCTGGCAGCGATACAATTGTGATCATGATTGAATGAATTGATTTAACGAGCTAATATTCTGCCCTATAGATTAATATCATCAGTACTGATCTAATAAACTACTTAAGAGACTTTATAGAGCTGACTGAGTAGAAAATTAAAGGTAGTTATAATGCAAAATATAATTCGATATGATTGTATTTTGCTGCAGTAATAATTTAATTTCGTCCATTTTAGTAATGATATCGACTTATAAGATCTACTGAGATATTAAAAACTTGAAATGACGGAGGCATACAAGTAATTTCTAAGTAAGATTTTAAATTCCGTTCATCGTACTTTCATATTTGCTGATGAAAGCACAGTAGATCAGCTAAGATGTAATAAAGCAGAATTATGAAAGGTCATATAGCTATACCCCTCTATAATCGATTCATGAGATTTTATTCAACTACACAAATCATTAACCTTAGTCTATTCTGATCTGAATACGATATAATTTAAATGGTAACCGTTCCTTTTGCTATAATAGATGAATTGAATGACACAGATCCAGCTACAATTTGCAATTCCTTTTCTCCAGATTGATGGATTTTATAATTTTATTAATTAATCGCACTGAAATTTTCGACGGACAATTTTTATGTATTACTCTACAGCTGCATCGTGTGAAAATTAAATAATACAGTTTACAGGAACGATGACATTTAGTGATCTTTGGATTAATCACCTTATGTAAGCTTCCTACTATCCAAAATTAATCATCCTCTTATATAAATATACAATCAAAGCCTTGTCATAATATGGTAGCACTTGCGTTTTTCACGCGGTCTGTTATATTAATCTAACACATGTAAATTGACTCATTTATTCTTTCTCTTTTATCTATTCTAATAGATCAAAGTGATCAAGCAAGAATACTATTGCAACTCAATAAATAAGCTAGCTCATAAATTACAGTAATATTTTTAATTATACTAATTTCTTGTCATGGGTGGACAGATTTATTTGATGAACATAATAGGTAGGATGTCTCTAAGATATTATACTAACTTGATGGATTGGACTATTGATATAGATGAATTCCAGTAATTGTCTATTTAAGTCTAGCACCATTTTACTGTCTACAAAACTTTATTTCTATCTCAAGAATACAATCAGTAAAGGTAATAATTATAATTATTATTCTCAGATTTAAGAATCTTTCACCACGATCGTGTTGGTAATAGCTTTCGTTTACGTCAGCTATATTGATTACATTTGTAGTAAAATTTAAAAAATGCTATAGAATGTTCAAACTTGGCATTGTCATTCTTTATCATCTTAAGTAGAAATTATTCGATACTCCTAAGATGGTGCAGCAATATTATTGTTCGACTAGGAATCTCTTTTTATCTCCATTTACCTTATTTCGTTATTAACTTCATGCTGAGTCATTAGTTGTATGTAGACTACTCTTTATTCGCAATCAGAATCATCGAAAAGTAATGATAATGCTCTATAGTGGATATGTAGCTTTGTCGGAGTAGATGTTTAATAAGACAAATTATTTTGATTGGTCTACAATCATGATCTAATCTGTTCCTAATTATCGCAGTTAAGATTGTTGATTCTTAATAAATCTCTTATAGAGAGCAAAGAATAATATTTTTCTTGAAAACTTATTTCGACCTAAATTGCTCCAAACTCTATCAGTGCCTTACAACAGGTCCGTTAATGATGGTGATGGTATGTCATTTATTCGATTAAGCCTGTTCTGTCATAGTTAGCAAATAAGGACTAGAAAAGTAAGCCTCTACTACGCTGGAGGAATAATATTTGATAGGGAATAAATAATATGGCAACCTGAGAAATACATTCATTTGTTAAGATATTTCTATTTGTCATCATTTATCTTCAACTTTTTTTGATCTACAGTAATTTCTATAACTACTTTAAATTTATCTGGCATGATTTGTTTTTATTCACTATATCTAGTGTGTTTCGGAATAATTAACTTAGAATATGAATGATTGGCTAGTTTACGGCTGTTCTGTTGATAAATTTCTCAGCTAATCCGTTTAATTGATAATGATAGAATATAACACGACTATTTTTAGTCATTGAAGTTTGAACAATCGACATAGACTGCTTTACCTGTAGCAGCTATAAATCTAGCCGTGCTTACTTCTTATCCAATAATTACGGTAATGCGCAATCACAATGATACAGAGCTACACAAAATCCTATAGCTATATGCGATATGAATATATATAGCTATAACACAAAATCCTATAGCTACAGTATCTACTATTTCATGAATTACTGAAATTAACTGAATAAAAATAGCATGAGAAAAAATCTTATCTTTGATATCAAGTATTATTGCTTTGATAATTATTTATTCTCTATGCTAATAGGAATGCTTACTATGATGCGAATAAAAAATATCGCGTTAGCATACAATTTATTTAAGTATAAGTTTATGTAGCAGTAAAGACATAAGGATACAGAAATCAAACAATATTAAAATTTATAAGAAATGAATTAATAGGACAAGTTTAAATTATCATTAGAATCATATTCGATAAAACTACAGTATGCAGTTGTTATGAAACCGCCAGCTGCACTTTCAGGTAGTATTTTAAATTTAGACAAACTTTACGAATTGTAAGTTTAAAGACATACATTGTAGAAATAAAACTATGTTCAAAATGAGCTAAAAGGACGTCTAGAATGAGCAATAAAAATTATAACACCAATGTTATGCGCTAATAAGTATCATATATGCTAGCAAAGATAAAAGTTTTTCTCCAGCTTTCAGTTCTACTAGCATCTAATGATTCATTCTCAGCATAGCAGTCTTAACCGTTGTAAAAATTAAATTATGGCATATTGAAAGTTTTTAAATTATTATACGATCATTAAGCCATAATGATATTAAAGAATAAGATCCAGAAAGGTAAGTTTATTGGTAAATATCAGCCTCTTCTTTACCATCGTAAAGTGGATTAGACACTGCTGTTTGGCCAGAACCACTGGCTGCTAGTTCGTTAGTATCGCTAAAATTTTGCAATGTTGGCTCTTTGTCGTCATTTGTATAAGGCTCATAATTTGGGTTACTCATGCTGCGTTTATTAAAGAAGCGTGTTATACTTCCCCTAAGCGAATAAAATAAAAGGACACTTAGAAATCTGGTAGTGCTGTTAGTTCAATACATCAATTAGTTTTGTGTCTATTAAAATGTTTACATATTAATCTTTCTGCGGATTTAAAATATAGTTCAATTTATTTAATCTTGAAACTGTATAACTTACATTCTATTTGTTCTGTACATGAAAATCATTCCACCAATAAGAGCTACAGCAATTAGAGAGCCAATTACTGCGGCAGCAATAGTTCCTCCTATATTTATAGTAGGTAGAGTTTAATTTTACTATCTACCTGAGGAAGTAGCTAATAAATTTTAAGGTAGCTTACCATTTGCAGTTTGGGGTTCAATTTTTGCTATAGAAGGTACATTTAAAAAGAAATACAGCAAGGATTAGAAATACGCAATATCGACTGTATGTCAAGATGTTAGGTTGTAATCTCAAGCACTACACTAATTATATAAATATTTTATCTTTAGTAGTGATAGAATCAGTTCTAGCTTTTAATAAAGCTACTTACGACATCCAGCTTCATCAGAACCATCAAAGCAATCAATTACTCCATTGCAATGCATGGTGGAATTGATACAACCGCCATTTGTTCCACATTTGAATTCGGTAGTTTTGCAAGGTCTGGTAGTAATTCCTATTAGATTATTTTCATAAAAGTCAATCGTAATAAATAAGGATAGCTGTTAGATATTATATAGGAATTGAAAATTATTACTGTAATAAAGTACTATTATAACTTTAATTTAATTTGATGAAATATCTTACCGCAACGATCTTCATCCATAGCATTGTCGCAGTCAACAGTGCCATCGCAACGCCACGTATTAGGTATACATACAGTTTTGTTATTGATAGGACATTGGTAGGCATAGCTTGGATTACTACATTTGTTGTTAACTAAAGGCAATGGTGTAATCGGATTTCCTAAACAGTCGAAAATAGAGGATATAATAATAGTCAACAATTTATTCTAAAATACTTGGTTGAGGCTATGATATAAGTAAATGATGAAGATTATTACCTCCGACATAGCATGCTGGTGTAAAGACGACATCATCGATAGCCATATCACTACTTATACTTCTACCTAGTCTTCCTTGGAAGACAACACGGTAAGGTTGAGCACTGTTGATCAATGCGTTTCCTCTCTTCCAGCCAATTCCTATAAGAACCAAGGGAAAACACTAAATGTTAATATTATTGACTAATCTAATCATAAGAATTATGCAATTTAATTATAATAAACCTTATATTTAAAATAATAATTGTCTTTACCTTTATGTCTAAGATAGTAATATGCAATAGAAATGATATACGGGCAATCTCTTACCTTGATTACCAGATTTTTGCCAGACTGTACCCAAGCTTTGCCTTAAACCTATATCTCGAAGAGTTACTGATAACGTACCCATTGATGTGCCATACATATTATACCAAAATTTGATCCAACAGATGCCATTACTTGCTGGCAAAATTGGTCCAGCTAAGTAAGCGGTATCGAAAGATTTACGTGGGAAAGATGCTTCAGTATAAGCAAAATATCCTATTTAAGTAGAAAATGATCGTGGTGAGGAATTTAAATGAATTCAATCATGTCATCTTAACTCTTTATCGACATCCCACTTTGTGCAAATTGATTGAATCTTACAAATAGAGAAAATTTCTCTTATCTTATGACGCGATAATGAATATTTATAATATATCTACGTTAGATTATCATACTATTTATATTTAGACTCTTATAGATCGAAAATATATTCAATTAAAAAGAATCTGGTATACGGTACTTTTATGATATGGAAATAATATCAACTGAAAACATACGAATATAAGTGTGTAATATCAATAGTAATATTTATAATATATCTGCGTCAGATTGATATATTGTCCTGATTTAGGTTCTCGTAGGTCGAAAATATATTCGGCTGAACAATCTCGAATACTATTATGATATAGAAATAAATATCAACTTCAAACACAGACTATAAGTATGTAATACTTAGCAAATACGAATGCAATATTAATGTAAATATTTATCTTATACGTAACAAGCCTACATCAATGCCTAAATCCTCTTTCTATGGTTGGTATACAAATTAAGAATGCTATGAGCTTAATGCTGTACAAGCAATTAAGACTGATTACGATATACTGTATACTGCATATTTGCGTATAATATAAATTTTTAAGTACCAGTTCTGGTTGACGGTGTAGTGTGATCATTGGTAGGACCAGTAAAAGATGATGGTGTAGTCATAGCTCGTGTCCAATTGAAGTCGCCGGATTGCATGTTAGTATAGTTACAGAATCCATTATCAAATGTGCAATCAGCATAGCTGTAAGCTATATAGAAATTAAATAGGTGATTATCATTGACAATAGAGTATGAATAAATTTAATATGAGGCGAGAAGAATATGATTTCAACTAGAGTAGAATTGGTAAATCGACTAGACTTACTGCATTGTGCTTCATCACTACCATCTGGGCAATCCTTTTGGCGATCACATGCCCAGAGTTTGTTGATGCAGTGACCACTAGTTTTACATTTAAATTCGTTGCGAGTACAAGCTCGATTGGCTATAATAGAAGCAGCAAGTTATAAAATGATAAATAAATTGATTTAAACGTGATCATAATCATTCGAATAATTCAACCTGGATAACATCCATTTTATTCAGTATTCTTGCATTACAGCACTTTATAAAACATAGCAACCTACCTGAATAGCAGTTTTGGAATTTGATATCATCGACCGCTAGACCGTATAATCGGCTAGATCCAGTTGAGCCACCGATTAAGATCCGGAAGTTTTGTTGTATACCAATCTTAACAGTTACCTTTTGCCATGTTGTTCCTTTAAAATCACCATTTGTAAAGTAGCCTATTCGAACTGTATTACTTGACGTTCGGACATAAATAGCAAGGTAGTAATATGTGCCAAAAGAATATTTGGTATACCATAAAGACATTGTGCATGCGGGACCTGAACCTTTGTATAATGCACTCTCCAAGATACCAACGTCACGATTGAACGACAAGAAACTGGTCGATGTTGCTGGCATAAACATATATGAACCTGATGAACTATTAGTAGTATGGTCGATAGGAGGTGCTCGACGACCTGCAGTTGCAGCTACAGCTAATGTCCAATTACGACGGGTGCCAAAGCCAGCATTATACCAACCGCAAGCTCCTTTATCGAAAGTACAGTTTGATCCACAATTAATTTCATCCGATCCATCGCCGCAATCGTTATTAAAGTTACAGACTGAGGTACGTGGAATACATTTACCATTTTTACAGCCAAAGTTAGAACTACCGGTGCACGTTGATGTTGGGAAGCCTGAGTTAGGTGGTCTAACGTTGATACCTGGGATTTGAATATTCCCTCCAAATTGACATCCACTAGTGAAAGAAACACCATCGATACCAATACGAGATGAATATCTACTTCCAACGACACCTTCAAAGATTACTTGGTATGCCGCACTACTGGTAATTTTAACAGCAACTCTTTTCCAATAACTCACTGTTGTATTCGATACTGAAAAGATCTGTCTCATACCAAGAACTGATGAATTACCGCGTATGTAGACATTAAGGCTGCCGCCATTGATTGCAGGAGTCATAAAGTAGTAAAATCGGAGATAGCAGTTAGCAGAGGAAGCTGCAGGCTTAAATGGTTGACTGGCAATTCGACTTATATCGCCAGTTTGAGCTGGAAAGTATGAATTTAAATTCAAGAAATGGCCTTGTGTTGATGCAGTATTGACGTCACCAGTTGGACCATTAAAAATAAATGAAGCTGAGCGTCGGTCCCAATAATTCTTACCGGATGGATCCAAGTAGAAGTAGCATTCATCGGCTTCAAATCCACATCGACCAATTGCTGATTTATTACAAGCAGCTGTTGTTTCATCTTGGAGGCCACCACAATCGTTAGCATAATCACAAACATATTGTGGTTGGACGCAATATCCATTGCCGCAAGTAAAGCTAGATGTGGGACATGTTGGTGCTCGAACAGGCTGCATACAATTGCTTAGTGTAACATCATCGATAGCCATATCACCATTATAGAGCAAACCACGTCTTCCCGTAAATTGCAATTGGAAATTTCGACGTTGACCAACTTTAATCGTTACCTGGCGCCAACTATTGCCTTGATTGCCAAATCTTGACCATAGTGTTGATGTTGTAGTAGTGCCTTGTTTAGCTACTAAGGATAGAGTACCAACACTAGTGCCATACATATGATACCAGAAGGAAATAATACATTGTGAGCCAGTTCCACCAATGATTGGCGATGTTAATAAGGCTGTATCGGTAAATCGGCCATTGGATGCATCGGTATAAACATAATATCCTTGACTTGTGCCTAAAGTATGATCAACACTTGGCCCAGTGCGTCCAGTATGGGTTGCACCAGTATGGCGTTCCCATCGGAATTTAGGAGAAGTTGAGTTAGGTCTTGTAAATACTCCATTGGTCGATTGTGGTAGCCAACCGCACATACCTTTTTCGAAAGTACATGTTGGCTGTATACAAGCTACTTCATCACTGTTGTCGGCGCAATCTTGTCTAAAGTCGCATACTTGAGAAAGGTAGATACATCTTCCACTGCTACGGCAGTTAAATTGTGAATTAAGATTACAAGTATGAGGTACAGCAGTTGTTGGTGGAATACCACTGGGTGGTGGTGGTGCATATGGCAATTGTTGGGTGGTTTTATTACATGATGGCGAGAAGGAGACGTCATCAATAGCAATATCACCATAAAAGCTATCGCCAACAGTTCCTTGAATAACTAATTGGGTTAATTGGCCTCTTGGTAAAGTAACGACAGCTCTTTGCCAAATATCACCTTGAGAGCCTCGTTTTATAAATAATTGTTGTGCAGTTCCATTTCTAGTTGTTTTCGCTAAGATAGCTAAACTTCCAACCGTATCACCATTCATGTGATAGTATAAGATCATTTTACATGTACTGATCGTAGTTAGATCGAAGACAGGAGTTAATAAATTAGCAGTTTTACCATATTGTTGTGCTGAAACTTCTAGGTAGTAATAATAACCTTGATAGGTTCCTAATGTATGATCACGGCTAGGACCCGTCCAGATACTAAATGTGGGTCCAGCATTTCGTGTCCAATTCATTTGATCACCAGTTAAATCTTGCATAAGATAAGAACAATCAGATTTCTCAAAATTGCATTGTGTATAACCTTTACAATTCGTTTCGTCGGAATTATCACCACAATCGTTGGTCATATCGCAAACTTGATCACTACTAATACACGATCGTCGTTTACATTGGAAAAATCCTATTCTACAAGTTGTTTGAGGCTTTGGATAAGCACAGCCGACAAAGCTAACATCATCAATTGCAGCTGCACCATCGAAGGCGTTAATATGAATACCGTGGAAAATGATCTATACATATTAAAAAAGGAAGGAACAAAGTGGTCTGTTACTAAATGGATATAGCAGGCATTAATAGATGTCATTTTTATTCTTAATGAATGAATGAATCAATAAAATCATCGATTAATCTACCTGGAATGGCTTAGTTCGTGCTCCAATTCCGACACTAGCATTGCGCCATGTATTGTACATAAAACCAGGTGTTTCCCAAATAATAGAGGGTTTAGCATCTCCTTGATTTAAAATTTCTACTTTCATAAGTCCAATTACGTTGCCATAATAGTAATACCAAAATTGCATTAAACACGTAGCATCGGAATGCTTATACCATCCTGTGGTTAAGTTGGTTTCTAAATTGTTGTAGGGTACACCTAGAGATGGATTGGCAGGTGGAATTTTGCCACCATAGAAAACGTAATGGCCTTTACCCGTGCCTGTGGTGTGATCAACAGCTAAACTTTGCTTTTCAGCTGCATCATGAGCCATTGCATATTGCCATTTAAAGGTATAGCGAGGATCATTGATAGGTGTAATTGTCATACCACACAAGTTCTTTTCGAAGGTGCAGTTCGATGGGCAGGTCCATTCGTCCGATCCATCGAGACAATCAGCAACAAAATCGCATACTTTACTCTTAGGTATACAACTGCCACTAGTATAACATCCAAACTGGCTTGAAGTGCAAGTATTGGGTACTCTAATGGTTGGCGTTGAGGTTGTCGCTGGTGTTGGTGTTGCAGTTTTTGTTACGGGTAAGCTTCCAGAATAAGGCTTGCATCCGGGTGTTAATGATATATCATCAATAGCAATGTCGCCAGTGAAACCACTTCCTACAGTAGCTTCGAAAACAACTTGGAATGCTTGGCTCGATGTTAGTGAAATAGATTTACGCATCCAAGAGGAGCCAATACTGCCATATCGAGAAAATTTAGTAGTATAAATTCCACCAATACTTGTTCTTGTTCGAACACGAAGATATCGAACGGTTTTGCCGTACATGTTGTACCAAAATCGGAGGTGGCAATTGGAAGAGGAATTAGTTGGAGCAATAGGCATACTAGCTAATCGTGCAACATCACCATTATTGCGTCGTGAACTATCCGCTAAAGCATAATTGCCAGCATAAGTACCCAATGTATGATCACGGTATGGGCCAGTATCAGCCGTGGATGCAGGGCCATTTTTAGTCGACCAATCGAAATCATCATCGTGTAAATTGGTCCATCCACAGAATCCAGTTTGGAAGTTACATCGTTGTTGATAGGCATTACAGTTAGCTTCATCAGAGGCATCTAAGCAATCTTGTGAAAAATCACATTGTTGATCGTTAGAGATGCAGTTACCACGCGGACAAACAAATCGTGAAGATGCCGGTAGACTACATGTTGTAGGAACAGTGCACTGGCTATACGTTATATCATCGAGTGCAATATCGCCTTGAAAGCCAGCACCACGTTTAGCTTCAAATTGGAGCTATAATCGATATGGATTAAAGTAAGAATTATGATTTATTTTATCCTTCCCTAATAAATGATATACAATAGAGGATATATGGCATTTTTTCGCCAAAATAGGAAGATTATCATTGATTTCACTTACCCTATACGTGTAATTTCTTCGACCTAATGTTACTTGAACTCTTCGCCAAAAGTTACCTTGATTTCCAGTAATTCCGTACAATTGAGCAATACGTTGTCCTCGGCTGTTAAACATATATAATGCTAGTGAACCAATATTACGTCCATACATATGCAAATAAAATGTGAGGAGACATGATGCAGGTGATTTTTGAATCAATGGCCCTGATAAATCAGCGCGATTACCAATTCTACCACCAGTTACTTCAGTATACATATACCATCCTCTGCTAGAAAATGTGGTGTGATCATAGCTAGGTCCAGTTGTGAGGGATGGTGTTCTACCTTGATGTCTTGTCCAGTTAAAGTTATCTGTGAACGTATTTTGCCAACCACATTGTCCTTTTTCAAAGGTACAAGCACCACAGTTAGCTTCATCGCTGCCATCAGCACAATCATTAACCCAATCGCAGACTTTATTCCATGCTACACATACTGTTCCGCTAGCACATTTGAATTTATTGGTACATGAACCAGGTTGTGTTGGCTTGATTGTTGGCTGTCCTGGTATACTACCACCAAATTGACAACCAGGTGTAAAGCTAATATCATCGATGGCGATATCACCTTGGAAACTTGATCCAACAACTCCAGTGATTACAATCTGATAAGGATTGGAAGATGCTGGCAAATTAACGATAGCTTTTTGCCATAATGGCCCTTGATTGCCAGAGAGTGACCATTGTTGAACCAATGGAGCAGTAAAACTGGTTCGTGTTGAAATTCGAAGGCTTCCAACACTGGGCCCATTCATACTATACCAGAATCTCATAGCACAAGTAGAAGAAGGAGATTTCAGTGTAGGACTACCAAGCATAGCGGTCTGATTAACAGTGCGTGGGAATGAAGTTTCGATGTAATAGTAAACACCTAGTAGGTAAAAGAGGTATCGAAATTTGATCGCGTATCAATATTGAATCGGTTTTAGTCATTAAATTTCATCCTATGTATTCGATTTTTCTTAACATACGATTACTAAATAATAACAAATTAAATAAGATCCTAATAATATCCTATTTACTGCAGCTTTATATGAACATAGATTACATACCAGATGAGGTACCAGTTGTATGATCAGCAACAGGTCCAGTGCCAGAGCTAATAGTAGTACCTGAGTGTTTAGTCCAATCGAAGTTATCTGATTTTAACTGAGTCCACCCACATAGGCTTTTTTCGAAATTACACATAGTATAGCCAGCTAGAGAAAACACAGTCAAAATATTATTTATTAAGATTTAAAGCTGTAAATGGATTTAGAGAATTGTTTAGCTTGTGTAAGTTAATAAAGTTTCTGCAGACAATATGTCAGTTACCGCATAATTTTTCATCGGTACCATCACAGCAATCGTTATTAAAATCACATGTTGCTGACGCTGGATAGCAGTTGAGTTTATCAGCACATTGATTTTGTCCACTAGGGCAGCTAGCTGCTGATGACGATTTAGCACATCCATTTAGTAATATATCATCTACGGCAATGTCGCCAGCTGATCCAAAGAAATCAGTTGAGCCTTTAAAGGATAACTATAATGCAGAGAAATATAGGACGAAGATATTCAAAAAAGACCTACAGTTGATTAAATGTCTTGATGGTTATAGTGAGGTAAAATAATGAAAAAATTTACGACTTAATAATAACCTGGAATGCAGTTGTGCAGCTTGAAATTTTAAGATTGGAAGCTTGCTTCCAGGAGTTGCCTTGTCCATTTGACTTTGTCCATATTTGTTTTGTCCCGCTAGGTGTTATTAGATCAACAGATAAAGAGCCGATATCAAAGCCATACATATGATACCAGAAGGAAAGGGTACATGAAGGTGCAGGATTGTTGAAAAGAGGACTAAGTAAGTAGGCATTTGCTGAGAATGTTCCATTGTCAGCTTCTACATACATATAGTAACCTACCAAACATAAATTGATAATAGATGGGTTAGTAAATTGCATCAAAGGGAAACTACAGTGTGACTGCCGATTTCTACGAAATTTCTCAATGTATGTTTTAATGTACTATTCTGGAGAATCATCGATCATGATTTTTTTATTATAATTATGATTGTACCTGAGCCAGTTGTATGATCTGTTGTAGGGCCAGTTAGAGAAGTTGGAGTGCCACCACTATTTCGTGCCCATTGGATTTCACCATATTCTAAAGGACTGGTCCATCCACACATGCCATTCTCGAAGGTACATTTATTTGGGCAGCCTTTTTCATCGGAGCCGTCAGTGCAATCTTGGATAAAGTCACACCATTTGGTGGATTGTATGCAGTTACCATTGTTGCATTTCTTCTGTCCTGTTGAGCATCCTGGATCGGTTTCTGTATATGAAAAAAGGGGTATATTTCATGACTATGGATATGGATATTCGTATTAAATATGCAGTAAAAATAAAAATTAAATCTCCTCTCATCTTACGTGGTGCAACAGGTAGTGGAGTATTGACCTTGCTACAGCTAGTGGTAAAACTAATATCATCAATAGCAATATCGCCCCAAAAATATTTTCCGTTTACTGCTTCAAAGACTACTTGGAATGGCTTATTAACGTTGAAAGTTATACTAGCTTTCTTCCATTGATCACCTTGATTACCAACAACGCTAAACTGCTTGATTAGTGGACCTTGGAAAGCAGTTTGTGCATAGACATTCAGAGCTCCAATATCGGGACCATACAAATGGTACCAGAAACGCATCTATAGAGTTCAATATTCAAGGTGTAAATTTAAAAAAATTTTAAATTCATACAGCATTCAAGAATATAAATTATCTGCTTTTCTTGTAGTTAAAGCTAACTTAAATTGTTATATTAGAAAATATACCTGGCATGTAGCTGATGGAGTTCCGAAAGTTTGAGTAAGAGTCATTTGAGCTGTTTTATTGGCAGAATTGCTTCTGGCTGAGAAAAACATGTAGTAGCCTAGACGTGTCCCCAAGGTGTGATCGAAGCTTGGCCCACTCAAGCTAGAAAATGTACCACCAGATGATCTTGACCAATCAAAGGAATCCTTTTTACTCTGAACGAAACCGCAAGTGCTTGATTCAAAATTGCATGTCCATGGTAAAGTTGCAGCTGTAAGCCAGAAACATCATTTTTACATTAGTAAGAATGATATCATTTTAAGCGGTCTACCCAATGCATTATAAAGTTTAGTAAGTAAAAGTTGTCAATTATTTTAAGCTTACCACATCCTTGTTCATCTGAGAAATCACCACAATCATTTCCATAATCGCAAGATAATGAGGGTGAGATACACCTACCATTGCTACATTGGAAATTGCCTGAATAGCATGGTGCTGATTGTGGGAAGTTACATGAATTAAAAGATATATCGTCAATCGCTGCAGCACCAATACTGGTTGAAAACGATGATCCAGAAATTCTAAATTCAAGCTATAATAGTGAAAATAGATCATTACTATAATTATCATGATGTCCATATAATATTAACTTCTATTAAATAATTATATTGTCTGATAAATCGAAGGGCTAAGATATAATAATAAGATTATACCTTAAAACCTGCTCGGCGATGTCCGATTCCAACCGTTGTATTAAGCCATAATGGGCGACCAGTAGATGATATGAAAGGACTTCTCCAGATTCTTGATGAACTTCCATTCTGTACAACATAGAGGTAGAGCGCAGAACTTAACGTTCTATTATACCAGAAATTGATTGTACAGGTATCATAAGCAGCTGGTAACATAGGACTGGCAATTTTAGAATCGGTGAAGAAGCTACCGCCTCGGGCATTAGTATACATATAGTAGCCATTGCCACTATTGGTTGTGTGATCAAGTAGCGGGCCATTGATGGATTGTCCATGGCCTGCAGTTTCACGCGCCCATTTGCTTATTCCTCCAAAGGATGCATCTCTCCAGCCACATTGGCCTTTTTCGAAAGTGCAAGCACCGCAATTTTTAGTTTGCCATGTTGCACATCGTGGGATTGGAGTTGGAGCTACACTAGGTATAGGGCCAGTGACATGTGTTGGTATCGTTCCTGTAGCATATTGGCAATTTTGGGTGAAAGTAACATCATCGATGGCAATATCACCTCTGATTGTTGCTCCACGCACTGCTTCAATAACGAAATAGAAATATCTCGAGCTAACTGCTGGTGCTTCCATTTTCAACCAAACATCACCAGCTGCACCTGATCGGGACCAGATCTTAATTAGCTTGCCAGTATTGGGTACAACATAGACATTAAGTGATCCAATGCCATCGCCAAGCATATGATACCATAACCTAATTTTACATTTGCCAGTAATATCGGGTTGGAACCATTTACTCTTTAGTTGAGCTTTTTGTCCTTGGCTTCGAAAGAAAGCATCAATAAATGCATAATAACCGGTGACAGTACCACTAGTATGATCTCTTGATGGTCCAGTATTAAAGGTAAGTGTTGTTCCACTTCTTCGTTCCCAATTAAAGTTATCACTACCGTACACTTGTGACCAATCGCAAAAGGACTTTTCAAAATTACATCCATTATAGGCAGCGCAATTCTTCTCGTCGCTGTTATCGCCACAATCGTCTTGGAAATCGCACACTTGATCAGCTCCAACACAGACTTTATTTGCGCATTGGAATTGATTTGAAAGGCAGCTAATTTGAGGTTGAGGAAGTGAGCATTCGAACATGGAAATATCATCAATGGCCATGTAACTACTTCCAAGGAAATCACGATCGCCTTCAAATGATAAACGGAATTTTTCAATACGTCTTCCCATATAAGCGATACCTTGTTGCCATTTATTGCTGTTGATATTGCGAATTTGAAGCATCCTAGTTTTAGGTATTGGTCCTTCAATAAAATAGACATCTAAAGTAGATGTTGTTGTGGAATTGCCATAAGAATAATACCAAAAGCGAACTTCACAAGAAGTTCCAGTAGGTGGTAATTGAGCACTTGTTAATTTAGCAGTACCAAAATTGCTACCAGTAGCAGCTGTAACATACATATACCAACCACGAGTTGTTTTAGTTGAATGATCAATTTGTGGTACAGTATTCGTTTTTGGTGTACCATATCTTCCACGAAGCCATTGATCAGAGCCAGCATTCATTGAGTAATTACATGTGCCAAGTTCAAAGGAACATCCACCGCAATTTAATTCATCGCGTCCATCAGGACAATCGCGGATGTAATCACAAACTTTATTGGAAGGTATACATCGGAAATTGCTATAACATCGAACAGCACAAGGGTTAGGTGGTGTGGTAGGTGCAGCAGTTGGACATGGACCGTTATATAGAACAAAATCATCTAATGCAATATCACTTTGAAGGCCAGAGCCTCGTGTTACGGTAAAGTATAACCAATTGGTAGTAGCAGCAGTGGGTATTACAACAGCAGCATAATTCCATCTTGGTCCTTGATAACCACTAACATTAAAGATTTGACTGGCATTATTGGGTGAACGGACAGAAAGCGATAGTTTTCCCATATCTGATTGAGTACGAGCATACATATAATACCAAAAGGTGAAACATCTCGTTGTAGAGGTTGGAGCAAATTCTGGACTGTAGAAGATGGCATTATCATTTAAGTTGGCAGAAGAAGCTTCAAGATATACATAATGACCTAAATTGGATTTAAAAAATTTAAGATATTTATCAATACATATAGAGAGAGCCGGTATTCTTATCTGAAAGATCACAATTACAAAACCATAATATACAAAATGGTGTAAACTAGATTAAGAAAACTTAAGATATTTGTACATATACAAAATCAGTATTCTTGTCTAAAAGATAACTGCTAGAAGAGAGTAAGCTATTAAGTGATCTAATTTGGATTAAAAATATTCAGATATTTGTACATATATAAAATCGGTATTCTGATCTAAAACGTAATAACTAGAAGAGAATAAGCTATTAAGTGATCTAATTTGGATTAAATAAACTCAAAATATTTGTGCATATATATATAAAATCGGTATTATGATCTAAAACATAACAACTAGAAGAAAGTAAGCTATTAAGTGATCTAGTTTGGATTAAAAAACTCAAGGTATTTACTAATACAGATATAAAATTGGTATTCTTTGTCTAAAAAGTTTCAACTATAACTAGTAACATGCAAAATGATGTAAATTGGATTAAAAGAACTCAAAGTATTTATTAACTTTGATATATTTAAGTGGTATTGTCTCAAAGTTCACAATTACCTGCTTCTGTACCCGTTGTATGATCAGCTGATGGACCAGTGCCGAATGATGGAGTAGGCCCACTCCAACGTAATAAATCTAATTGATCAGATCCGTGAAGATTCCTCCACAAGCAAGTACCCTTTTCAAAGGAACAATCACCAAGTGGAGGGCATGCACCAGCGGTCATTTGGACATCATCAATAGCTATAGTTCCATTGCCTGCTGTACCTCGTGCAGCTTCGAAAGTGATAAAATATGGCGATTGGCTTTTTATCGTTAGTTGTGTTCCTAGCCATTGTTGTTGGCGTTGTAATAAGGTGGATGTTGGTCTAGTCCATCTTTTAGTCAGTACGCCATTAGCTTGTGTATATACTGACAAGGAACCATAACTACTATTTCCATAAGCAATATACCAAAATCGAAGACAACTGTTGGCTGTTGGTGGCCGCTCAGGTGAGTTAAGTCGTGCGGTAGCACCGTTAGTTTTTTGTTGCATATTTGCATAAAAGCTGTGACCACGAGTAGTTCCAGTTGTATGATCATTAGCAGGTGCATATTGGTTGGATGGTTTTCCAGTATAGTAAGTCCAATCGAAATTATCGTTTATATCCTGAGTAAATCCACATCGGCCAGGGTCTTCAAAATCGCATAGTTGACGAGCTGGGCATGCTTGGAAGTTAAATTTAATGTCATCGATAGCAATATCACTTCGATAACCTCCACTAATATGATGTGTTTCAAACATAAATTGGAAGCTATTGGTCTGTGCAACTTGAATTTGTGCATATTTCCAACCAGGGCCTTGATTACCACGACGAGTCCACAGTAATCTTGGATTTGTATTGCCACTATATACTATGTATACATTAAAGACATTAATATCTTCACCAAACATGTTATACCAGAATTGTAAGCACATTGGCCCACTCGATTGAGGAATAGATGCACTATATAATTGAGCTGAATTATTGGATGAGAAATGAGATCCTTCAACGTAGGCATACCATCCACTAGCACTCCCAGTGGTATGATCTGTACTTGGACCTGTGTCTGATGACGATGTAGGACCTTGATGTCTAGTCCAATTCAGAGTATCCGTGCCAACTCCTTGACCCCAATTACAAAAGCCTTTTTCAAATGTACAGTCGTAAGGAGTTGGAGGCATGGTAGTAGGTGCTACTCGAGTTGGAGATGGTGTTGGCTGTGTAAGAGTTGTATTACAGTTAGTGCTAAAGGTTATATCGTCAATGGCGATATCAGAAAGAGAACTTTGGCCTCGTACAGCAACAAATAGAATTTGATATTGTTGATTGGAGTTAAATGCTACGTGGGCATTTTTCCATACGTTGCCTGCACTTGAATTTCTTAGCCATAAGATGCTACCAAAATTACTGTTAACTCTTTGGATATAGACAGAGAGTGAAGAAGGTGTCCCAAATGCAAAAGGACTCCACATATGATACCAGAAGGATAAACAGCGTCCATTGGGCACTGCTGGAAAGACCATACTTTGAAGAACAGTTTTTTGTCCATTACTACGGCCAGTTGCCTCCATATAAAGATAGAAGCCATTAGCTGTTCCCAGTGTATGATCAACTGAGGGTCCAGTAAAACTGGATGGAACAGAACCTTGATGTCTTACCCAATCGAAATTATCACCTTTACGAGCGTTCATCCATGTGCAAAGACCATTTTCGAAATTGCAATTGCCAGGTAGAGGACAAGCTTGATCGTAGAAACTGACGTCATCGATAGCGATAGTTCCTTGTCCACTGCTTGTTTCAGATTGAAAGACGGGCTATAATCCAATACAAGATTAAAAAAATGTTTCATCCTCTTGGAATAACCGTTATCAATAGCTATTTTCGATGGTACTGGAGAGTAAAATGAAGCTCTTACCTGCCAACTGCCAGTAGTACTGTTCATGGTGACCAAACCTGGTTGCCATAAACCTTTTTGGTTACCCATTTCTTGCCATAGAACAGGTCCTAAATTGCCTCCGATTTGATTGAAAATTTTAAGTGAGCCAGCATTGCCAGTTAACCGATAGAAAAAAGTCATACATTTTCCAACAGCTGGTGTTGGAGCGAAAGCTGGACTGAAAATTAGGCGAGCTTTTTGGTTAGCATTGCTGTAGGAGGATGTGTAAGCGTAGTAACCTAATTGGCTTTGGTAGGTATGATCAGTAGGTGGTCCTGAACCATTTTGGTCATTGCCATTTTTACCTCTTCGCCAATTGAAGTCATCTGTAGTATCTTGAGTCCATTTGCACAAGCCGCTTTCGAAATCGCAATTCGTTGTCAAAGGACAAGCCGATGAGGTCATCGATATATCATCAAGAGAAATATCACCGGCAAAGCCAGAGCCACGCAATGCCACGAATTTAATCTACAATTAATGGTATAGCACTGATGTTAATAAATGCTTAGGAATGAATTCTTGATATCAGAAATGATATCGGTAAGAGTAGATTGGATGATAATTCCTTGATAGCAAGCATAAAAAACTAATAGTGGGTATGATCCATCTGTTGATCATGCCTTTACTCTTAAGTTACTATTCTAGCTACCTACATCTTATAATACAGAGATCGAGCTAACCTGATAGTTGGAATTCATGTTGAGTTGAAGATTTGACTGTTTCCATTGATTTCCTTGATTTCCATTTCGCTGCCATATTAATGAATCTTTTCCATTCATTGTGGCAGAAACATTTAATGTAGCGATATCAGGCCCATACATATGATACCAAAAGGTTATACAGGCTTGTCCACTCGCTACCATAGGAGACATTAAGGTAGCCGCAATGTTTGGTAGTTGAAATGAAGCTTCAATGTAGACAAAAAGGCCTAATAACCCATTAAGAAAAGGAAATTGCAAAGATTATCGCTGGTAATAGAAATTATAACATTTTAGCGCAATTTGTGTCTGGGCCATATTAGTATTGAAATAAAATTTTTAGTTTGTACCCTTCCATCAGCATCACTTCAAATTATATGGTATAAAATAGCTTCATTTTAATGCATGTATTGTCAACATTGTTTTATACATATCAATAAGAGTTGATAGTTTAATACTAATCGATGAAGATGGATTAAAAGTTGTTTACTTGCAATAATTTCAATTTAAATTAATATACCTTTTCCGGTAGTATGATCTTGGGATGGCCCTGTGCCGAAGCTTGCGGTACTTCCATTGTTAAGCGTCCAATTTAATGGAGCATTTACGGGCTGAGCCCAGCCGCAAAAGCCACTATCAAAGTTGCAGTTAAATTGTGCCTGAGCACTAGCCGCTGTAACTTGGAATAAGATGAAATTAGATTCGAATCAATTTTAAAATAGGCACTCATTCTGTAATAGGATATAACAAAAGGTAATTATATCACATTGCGAGATTTTTAGGTTAATTATATATGAGTGTCTAAAGTAAAAACTAATATAATCTTTATGTCATAGTTACTAGTTAGGTTATCATTGCAGTTGAATTCTTAATTAGTATCGGAATTACGAATACGAGTACATGCCACGATAAGATACACTACTTTAAGAATTTGTATCATTACGGAGCTTTTTTTATTTCGATAGATGTATTCTATGCGTAGGTTACGGCTTAAACCCATAATCGGCCATTATGCTGTAGAACAGAACTACTCTGAAAATAGAGTCACTTCACTACACTGCAGAAGCTCTTCTTTATTTACTTAGAAATGATCAAAAACAGAAGATTTATTATGGGTATAAACTAAGTAAAGTGAAAATAGAACTATTTGCAGTGCTTTCAGAATTAATTTTACTACAGAAATTCTTCTTTATTTCGATAGATATATTTTATTTATGCAGAAATAATCAACAATAAATGATTTGTTACGGGTATAAATAAGGTAACGATAGAGTAGAACTATTTGCAATGCTTTAAGAATTAATTTCACTACCGAAGTTTTTCTTTATTTAAATACATATATTTTATTTAGGCGCAAATAATATCATCATCAATACATGACTTATTACGGAATAAGTAAGGTAAAGTTAAAAAAGAACTACTCTGAAAATAGAGTCATTTCACAACACTACAAAAGCACTTCTTTATTTACTCAGTAATGTATCAACAACAGGTACGTTATTACGGACATACATAGGGTAATATTAGAACAGAATTACTCCGAGGATATTTCTTAGCCTATTGTCATGTCGAAAACAATCATTTTTATTGGCAAATTTTTCGTTTTTGGATCTTTCTATCTTATATCGATATCGATACATTAGTATCGAGAATTATTATTGTAACTTCATTATTTTACGAAAAGTAAATTTAGTTAAAAGAGAGATTGTATTCGTAAGGAACATCCAATTTTACATATATGCTTTGACTTGCATGCATAGTAACTGGCTAAATTGGTGCTACATCAATTTTATGGTTTCCACTAGCAACTACTATTCTAGACTTCTTGTTGACCCTTTTGTGATAGTAATGAGTGTATGATAATTAGCGAACGCAGATTAATTGCGTTGCATCTTCAAAATCGAATTACAAGGCTTATTTGTTGTCATTTCCTTCCATTCTAAACAATATCTTGGATTGCCGCCATTGCATGACTGTTGATATAAAGACGTCGTATGTATGTAAATTCCTTTAGCGACGATTTTTAACTAACTAAGTAAATAACATTCAGACTGTTTGCTCGAAAATGGCGGAGACAATGAAAAGTTTATTTCACGCGTTGATGACTAACCTCGTATTGTATAATCACGTCTAGGCTAAGCTTAAATCAAACAGTTTTATTTACCTAATCATTTCAAGGCCATCATTAGTGTTTAGTGAGAGGATCAACTCTACTAACAGTCTACCTTTTGGCTAATTTTACTTTAATATTGGCGGTATAAACAGTATTACGAGCATGATGTAAATGATTGAGCAGAACAATATTTTACCACTTGATACGGAATGGATAAAGTGAGGGCGGAACTATCCAGTTGGGATAGGCTGATCAATTCAGGGTCAAGTTAACGTCTATTCAATTTAGAAGATCAATAACACTTTCCTCTTCCTTATATCGTATTTCAATTACTATCTGTAGTTGAACAAAGAGAGAGTAGGGTAAACTAAATGAGAAGAATAAGGTACGGAAAAAGAACTCGATCTTTATTGGTTTAATTTATTCAAGATTCAATTCAATAGAATTTTAATTGTTTTTCAATAAGAGCTAGTGGCACAGTTGTAATAAACAAAAATCGAATTTGGAGACACGGTAGTGTAGGGTGTATTCTGCGTTATATACTATTCGTTGAAGTTTTTATTCGGGCATGATGACAGGATAAAAATATTGAATCTAAAGTAATCTACTACTCAAACATCATTTAACTAGATTATTGAACAAATTTACTTTCGAAACGGAATTTGATAGGGCAATAAAATATTTCATGAAATAGAAAACTTATCCGCAGTGAAGGTTAGCTCTACCGATGAATAAAATCAAAACTTGGATAATCTAAATTATGATCACTACGGTAATCGTAAGACGATTTTATTTGGCGCGTTTTAGAAAGAATCATTATTTTTTAGCTAGTTTTCTAAGGGTTTTACAGCGAAACAATTGAAGGTCTTAATTAAATTAATAGCAACAGTAAAATAGTCATACTAAATGCTGCTATACAAGCAACGTGTAAAACGGATACTCGTATATCGATATTAAAAGCTCTCTGTCATTGAAGGAGCAGCCATCGCTAAAAATTGATAATCTGCGCTTAACTAGTTTTAGACAAAAAGAATGAAGGGCGGAGGGATCGGCTTTTTCTCTATACAATTCTAGTAACATATTCGTATTCTTAATGCATATCGTTCCACGAGGCTATATTTTTTAAGGCAGTATTAATTAAAACAGCTTTAATATATCCTATTACGGTAACTCATTTCTAGCGTTAACTTAATGATTCAATAATTTATTTCTTGCCGTAAAACAACTTGATTTTGGATCGAATAATGATTATAAAAATGAACCACATACCTGCACATAACAGCAAAAGTCCCAGCGCAATCACTTTGGTCGCCATACTTGCTGTGGGTAAGGTGAAAGCAAGTGATATGAATTTTGTGCAGCAGGTAGTTATTCTTATAATACGTGAATTTGTAACCTGAGGGGAATGCCTTATACACTATGCATTCGTATTCAAAGGTCAATAAAAGATTGCAGACTAGTGTATTGTATTAATTGATATAATGATATTCTAACCGAGTAGAATAGCGCAGTAATATTGTTATGCGATCACGAAGCGAGGTAATTGTTTTATTTAGCTCTACTTTTGATAATAAGGCCATTAATATTGAAATGATAATGACAATTATTGTTTTGTAGAGAGAAAGAGGCAGAGAGGACGATAGGATTGATATTGTGATATGGTTTCTATTCTTCGCGAACTACGTTAATTAAGTAGTTGATGCACATAATTATTTTAGTAATTATCGCCTGCACCTTCTTGAAAAGTTGAATATTAGAGGTCATTTTTAGATTTTATTCTTCAACACATCAAAAATAGGAAGCTTGTTCACAAAAGTTCAATTTAAGGCTGCTAATATTTGAACTAATTAAAGTTGACTTATTTCCATTAAAATAATATGAAACTCATTCGGAAATGATTTAATTTATAGCTGATGATATTTGAACTATTTAAAATTGACTTCTATCCATTACAATAATATGCAACCCCTTTCAGAAATGATTCAATTTCTCGTGGATGATATTTGAAATAGTTTAATTGACTGACGTCCCTTAAAATGACATAAAACTTATTGGGAAATGATTCTGTTTATAGCTGATGATAGCCGAACTAGTTAAAGTTGATTAATATCCATTAAAATGATTTCTTTTAAATGAATTCAAAAGTCGAAACAAAGGCCAGTCTTGCAAGATTATTGTTGGTTACTAGTAACCCACGGAGACATTGTTCATCTAATTTCTACCGACATCGTCGCATGTTACTGCTTGATTATCTCTTTTGTGTCATTCAATACTGTTTATTTCATAAGATTGTCGAATAAAAAATTGAAAACGTGATCCTATCATCTAAAGCTTTACCTTATAAGTTAATACAAGCACTGATGTCATAAATATACAAATGTTGCATAATATAGGACAGCTGATTGTAAATTGTTTATCCGCCTAACATTCTGTAAGAGAAATGGTAAAGACAATAATATCAACATAGCTTAGACTGTTGCTTTGGGCTGTATTATGATAGGATATAGAACTAGATAGGTCGACCGATAATAACGAGTTTACGCAATACGAAGTTCAAAAGCTAAGGCTTCCTGCGGTAATTTTAGATGATGTAATTAAATTATCTGTGTAATGGCACATAATACAGTTACTATACGAGTATGTCCTATTTTTTGCATAATTGTATTTGAATTTTATTGATGCTTTCAGGCTTTACAGACTTGAATATCATTGAGAGTTTTTCATCTAGATTATTTGTCATAATTATTTACCAAAATTGGTTTAAAAAATACCAATTTAAGTAAAGTAACGGATCACCAATACTTTTCGAAGCTGATTTACACTGAAATTAAGTGATTGATTGCTTGGTGTTAAAAAATAGTTACGTGTATATTGAATTTAATATGGTCTAGCGCCGTTTATAGACGTTATGTACAATATTTATTTGCCTCATTTCTTCAAAAAACATTAATTCAGAAAAGTAACGAATCATCATTATTTTCAGAAGCTGATTTACGCTGAAATTGAGTGATTGATGCTTAATCTTAAATAATTATTATGAACATCCTAGCTCATTCATAGGGTAATCTGTAATAGGTCAGGAAGATTTTTAGATATGAAAATGTGTGCATTTTTGTTGCTTGAGTTCAACGGATGTAAAAAAGGTTCTACTTAAAAAGTGCAGATATCAATCCAATTATCTCGACTTTGTTTGTGTAAAACATTACGAATGTGCGTGATGGTAAGAAGTAAATAATCTCATTCCTGTGTGGAAAGTGCATAGACATCTTCTGTAAATAGGCCAATTTTGCTAACTAATTATGCAAACATGAGTGTCTTCATCGGTGTACTGCTATAAAATTGAGTCCAGAAAAGTACGGCAGTTATGCTTCGACTACATGAAGTATTTAACGTTGAATTACAATCAGGTGCTAGTGATTACTTCTAATTTTGTTCAGCTTCATTTGTTGATTTATAGCTAGATATTTTATTACTCATAGCAGAAGCATTCGTCCGAGTAACGCTGGAGAATATTGCAGTAATTATTAATTAATGCCGTCTAGAATGCTAATTAGGTCATACCGGTACTGATCAAACAAGTAAACAATAATAGAAATACAATTCAGTGCAGTATAATACGAGTATACAACAGTGAATTAATAATATAATGCCATATCTAACTTCAAGCATTCAGTGCTATTGAAATCTCTCAGCGGATGATTATGATTTGCCACGTTGATAGATAAAAAGAAGATTATTGTCAAGGAAACAAGCAATTATTAATGCACTTACCTGCATATTTTAAAACTCCAGTTGAGAAGGCTAATTATTGTTACAATGCAAGCACCTTCTTTGTTGCTATGTTGCAGCGGTAGGCCATACAACATACAGTACCTATCTAGTTGGGGGCATCTTGCCATCCCCTCTCCTTTTAAGCCTATATGCCATGAAACATGAATAAATGTTATAGCACTTACGTTGATGTACTACATATGAAAAACATTTACATAATTTATTAAGCCATGATAGGTCAAGTTTAAAGGCATGAAAGTTTATGTTTGTAAAGCGAATATTTCTCGAGTGTTAATAGTGACTTCTCCTTGAAACTTTTGCGGACTTGTGACATTAGTAGAAGAAGTACTAACTCGTACCATGACAAGTTTTAATAGATCGTTATATCGTGTTGTGTCAAATTCTTTATGATGAGACTTAACGAAAATAAGCGATACCTGACCATAAATGGTAGTGAAAGGAATTTGAGATAATTTGAATCACTGGCGACTCGAGGCCAATGGATTAGTTAAACGATAGTATCTGACGGTAAAATAGCTAGATACACTAGACGAAAGAATTAGATGGATAGCAGTATCGATAAAATCTGCTTAAGACTAGAATAGAATAATATAGCAATGACCGATAAGTAAATTAAGTACACACTAAAGACTTGAGATTAATGGATTGGTTAGGCGATAATATACGATGATAGAACAAGTGAATACACTTGAAAAAGAGCTAGATAGAAGTATCGATGAAATCTATTTGAGATTAGAACGGAATAATACAACGATAACCAGTAAATTCATTAAGTATGCTCCAGAAAGTCGCAATCAATAGATTAGTTAGATGATAGTATACGATGGTAAAACAGCTCTATACACTAGACGAAAGAACTAGGTAGCAGTATTGATAAAATTCGCTTAAGATTAGAACGGAACAAGATAGCGATTAAAGATATGTTTATTAAGTACACACTAGCGGCTCGAATTCAGTGGATTAATTAGACGATAGTATACGACAGTAAAGCAGCTGAATATACTTGATGAAAGAATTAGATAGATCGTAGCTTCGATGAAATCTGTTTGAGACTAGAACGAAATAATATAGCAATAACCAAAAAGTTAATTATGTGCACGCTGGAGACTCGAGATCAATGGATTAGTTAGACGACAGTATATAACGGTATAGCAGCTAAATAAATTAAATTTAATAAAAGAAATTAGATAGATAACAGTATCCGTGAAATCTGTTTGAGAATAGAACGTAGAGATACAACGATAACCAATAAATAAATTGATTTACTCAGGTCTTTACGCGAAATTAATTATATGTGTCGGGATAAAAACATCGTAATGTTGGATGTCATCCTGAAATATTTTGGCTACGATGTTACAGGATCTATTTCGATCCTTAATCTATAACTATCGGCCAATGGTAATAATTATCTACAATATTTAGATTATTTAATGATGCTTTTTGAATTTTTAACAGAATAACATAGGGTCCTAATCTTACGTAGAATATCGATAAACTAAACAGTGCAGTAACTCTTCTTGGGTAGTAAAGAAGGAATAGGGGACGACCACAAACCTGAAATAGATACTTTTAGAGTGGTATCCATTTCAACATCTTTTCCCATTTTGTCACACGAAAATAGCTTGATAAAAATCAAGATACCTTTTTGTATCATAGGAGATAATCATGTAAAGCAATTGATTCTATTCATGATCATAATTTTGAATAACTAACCGCGATAAATGTGCATTCTTCAATGTACTATAACGGTATCTATCGGTAAATACGCTAGAGACATTATCAATTATACCCTCTGCAATTCTATTAAAAGCGGTGTCTTTGGTCATTCTATTTATTCACGTTTTTGTGCATTAGCCCCTCGCTGTACTTAATCTGTAATTCAAGTTAAATTCATAAATTCATAAAAGAACGTATGTGATGATTTATTCAGTAAGCTGCTATTACTGAGTCATTCTTGAATCGTGTACTAGCATAATAACCTAGAAGCCTCGAAGACTATAAAAATTATGTTCGACACTTTAATGTTGGAATGTTATTAAATGCCTAAACTGTTTGTAGTTTCTTTTAGAACGCTAATACTGTGGTAAAGTACAGGCAATTAATAATTCTATATTTCGACTGTTATCTTGTACAGCATTACGATCAATCAAATGAGTGATAATTATATTTAATGAAATAATTTTTAATCTGTAAATGTTAGTCTTCGGTCATCGTATAGCGGTAATATAAGTATTTCTTGGTTATACACCTTAGCCAACGAATTTACTTACTTTTAACTTCTTCTCCTACTAATAAAATGACCTAAAATATAGTACCGTAATTTTTTTCTATAACCCGCAGCTCATGGACTACTAGAAATCTACGCTAGAAGTAATCCTTAGTTTTGTGTGCGCCTATTCTTATCTGCTGCTACTGCATTTGATATCACTTTATCAAAAACAGTACATATGATTTATCGTTGCGTGTAATAAAATTTTGACTTACAGAAACAGATTTCATAAGCCATATTGTCTATCATTGTAA